TAAGGTGCGGTCTCACCTCTGGAAGAGTTTTTTCAAGTTTCCTCGATCTTTAACCAGATAGAATTTTATAGACCTCTTTTTAAAATAATGATATTATAAGAAATCGGTAATTTGTCATATGTTAATTGGTTAAATTATCGTAGTATATAATTTATTCGATATCTATATATGCAATTTGATACTGGAAAGTGGAATTTGTTGTAGTACAAATTCTAAAAAATAATTAATAATAATAATTTTTTTATTGAAGCCATCATAAAGAAACCTCTACCTACCTTCAAATAAGACATAAGACACTTAACTGATAATTTAGGAAATCCATAAGGCATTTATGAAATTTTTTTAAAATTCAAATTATTTTCCTTTAATTGATTCAACAATTATTTCTAATATACATGAAAATTATTGTCCATTTATTGTAAACTTACTCATAGATATATTATATATTAGTTTTTTTGGAAATTTATTTGATCTTAGTAAACTGATATATAGAAAATTAGGATATAAAAATGTACTCTATTTATACAAACAACTCAGATTCTTAGTCAAAACGAAATATATGTTGTTTAATGAGAATATTTTAATTGATTATTATTTACAAAACATATAAATATAGTATTTAATCATTAAGGATTATTAGTGTTTTTAATTAATTTTGGTAATCCTTTACTTCTTTTTTATAATTTACTTTTATAAGTGTGTATATGTACCTTTTAGAAGCAAACAAGAGATTAATATTGGCTAACAGGATTTAGTAAGGGATGGTTGGTAATTTATTTGATTTCTTCTCAGGATGTTTAAATTGACATCTTTCTCCATAACAACAATAACTTTTAATGTAAATTATTATTGATACCCATCTTAAGTGTAATTTTTACAAGTTTTAGTCTTGTAATTAGAGGGAACATGGACTTTTTATCTCACTTCATCTTTTCCATGAGCAAAGGCACACTAATTTTATATTTTATAGAATACTTATTAGCCATAAGGACAATATCCTTCGATCGCCCAATATTTACAAATCTAAACAGGATTTATTAACTAATTTACTTCAGTTTTGACTTTCACTTTGTAGGAAGCCTTTTTATTCGTTTTTTTGCTTGGCATTACTTCATCCAATTATTCATCTGAAATACTCTCACTAAATAATTAATATTTTTGTTATACCAACTCTTTGTAGAGTGATTGCTATCAAATTCATCACATGAAATTTGTTAATTCATTTTAAATAAAGTAATTAATATCTTATTTTAAAATCTTAATAATATTATTAAAACCAATCCATACTATATATATTAAGGATGATGCGTACTTAATAATATTATTAAATCTTTAGAAATTGCCGGGATTACTAAATTTAAATAAACTAGAGCCATTAAATGAAAATAGATAATTATTTTAATTCTGCAATTCCTATTTTTGAATAATTGCCAAAATAATGGAGAAAAGCATGGGTAATTGGGTTTCAACTATTTATGTCTATTTTTAATATATTAGAATATGAAGATCATTAATAATCATAATTGGGATACTTAGTTGTTCATGACAAACAACTATTATAATAATTACTAATTAAATGAATTATTTATTTAATCAATTCGATATTTATCATCACCTTAATTTTGCATCTTTAACCACCATACTCTACATTACTTAAAAAATACTAATAACCTCATTGGTTCAAAATTATAAAGAAAATGATGATTCATAAGGTAATTATATTAATTATATAAGATAACAATACCCTAATACATTTTGAATTATTCATTAGCTATCCAACTTTACTAATGCTCATCAGTACAATTGCTAATACAGCATAATTATTGTTTGCCTTGTTTTTGCAATAGCTATCAGGATTTTCACTTTTAATTTGTTTTATTGCAGCGTCAATATTTAATGGAATTTCAATTTGGTGGTCATTAGTTAAGCTAAGAAGAACTTCCTACAGAAAGTCTAGATTATTGTGGATCTTATCATAAAATCTTCTGCTTGTATTTAATTATTTAAATATTTTAGATAGTAATTTTTTTTTATCTAGACTTCAATCTTAGTGGATTGACTATAGGAATATCATTTGCACTTTAATTGGTTGGAATATTTTTAGGGATGGCCATAGGATCGTTAAACATACAAGATGCATATGGAGAATTTAAATAGTAATTTTTGGACAATCCTTAAGCAACATCAATTAAATAATAGATACTTTTCCATATATATTATGGACTCCTGCCATTTTTGTCATTAATAAGAGTTAGTCATGAAATTGTATTTCACAAGCTTTTCAATAACCCATTTGATTTGTTGTATTTTGCTTTAATTCAGTTTTTCTAAACAAGGATAATGACTTATAATGATGAAAATTGTTTAAAATCAAATTGGGGAATTAAAAGCTTGAAATTAGCCAAGTAACACATATAAATGATATCAATTTAGATCACCAATGTATTATTTATTGATATATTAATGCATAATATCTTTGAATAGAGTAGATTCATTCGATTTTAATAATATAAAGAATATAGCTTTATGTGATTTCATGATATTTGTTGTTTCTAATGGAGCAGTTGGATTATCCTCAATTTTAGTCTAAAAGTATTTGTAAGAATAAAAAAAATGAATAGCCATTATAATATGTACATTAAAAATTAATATTTAATTAATCTTCCAAAATTCTGAATTACCATCAACATTTTAGATGCATTGATTTAGCTATTCTACAAGCTACTTATTTATTCTCAATCAATATTATAAATAATAATAAAAAATCAAATAATAAGCAATTAAATCATAGAATGATAATTTATTATAAACTCAAACTTCCTAACACATTCCTTAAGTTGGAGTTACTAATTCTTAGAGATTATGGGATGTTTATTAAAAATTGAACCCTTCTTAATCCTTTGAATTTGATTATTATTATTTTTCAGTAAGAGTTGAATTCTTCATACTATCATTTTCTTTTTCATTTTCACTATCTCCATCAAATTAGAATGCTGCCTCTAAATCTTATTATTTTATTTTGCTAGGTTTACATTTTGTATTTTTGGTGACTGTAGCTGTTGTCTTAGAAGTTTTAATTTTAATGTTTTGCTTCTGATTAGATATTTCTTGAGAATTCTGTTTAACTACTTATTCACAGAAAGTTACTCGCTATTCAGAAAATATCTATCCTGAACCTTAATTTTAAACAGTTAGCGGTTTGTTTCTAAAATATTTTCTCAAATATAATCCTATAAAAGTTAGAAGCAGAAAGAGCAAAATGAAAATAAATAGAGTTTACAACATTATTTAAATATTTCAATTAAATTCTTAGTCTTAATGTTTTGATGCCACCATCCTCGAATTCAATATATTGGTTTGGACTACTCGTTTTACATAGGTACCGTCGTCAACTTTATTGATAACTGATTCCCTAGTCTTAATAGTAATAAAAATATTTACTCTAAACACTGATTCAGTTTTCATTCCTTCATATGCTTAATCATATTTTGCTATGACTTAACTATATTTGTTTATATGATCTTTATAGTCTAATTGACATTGATCATATTCTGCCTAAAGTTTATCGGAATATTTTTTTAGCTATGAATTTTAAAGGGTTAATTCTTCATTTTACCTTTTTAATTTATCTATCTCTTCATTCTATATTATAATTTTAGTTTCAAATCCTTTTATTTAGTTTAGAAGTTTTTGATTTTCAATTTTGAGCATATCTGTTTCATTTTTTTGTAAATTTCCTGTAGTTTACCTAGATTGTGCAAAATTATATGCATCCTAAACTTCATTTTCCTTAGTCTTTATGTCATCCTTTAAATTTTCAATTTCTCTCCTCAACTTTTACAATTCAGACTTATCTTTAAGAGCCTATGAACTTAATTGAAAGTTTTTAGCTGTTGATTCATCTCTTTCCTATTTCACAGTTTCATATTCTGCTAAAGACACTGTTTCAGTATCTAATTTCAATCTAAAATCTTCCAATTACTTTATTCTGATATTATTCTATTCCTCTAACTTCTTATTCTCATCTTGCAAATGCTATTCAGATGCTAACAAGGAATCATATTTAGTTTGTAATAATCTCAATTATGATTCCAAACTATCCTTTAGAGCTTAGAATTTCAATTCATTGTCATTTGTATCCAATTTGAACTTTTACAGCAATTGTATTTCTATTGTTAAACTTGAGAATTGCTATTATATTATAACATATTTATCTTAAAGATCATTAAATTCTCTCTATATATCTTCATAGCTATTCTCTAATTAATCATGCTTAAGTTATAATTAAGATAATCGTTATTCAGTCTCTTACTTTGATTTCTTCAATTAATTAAGTTGGAATTCTAACTTCTGTTATAAATCAACTTTCTCTTATTGTAATTCTCTCTCCCTCTCTTCATGTTAATCAGATAACTGAGTAAGTTTAGACTTCCATAACTTTTCATCTTCTTAATTTTACCTTTTTTATTGGTCAATGGTATTATTTAACTTTTACAATTTCATGCTGTTATTTTATTCTAATTCACTAAATTTCGTATCTCTTTCTTCTATTTCGTGAGTCATTTATATGATTTGTCTCTCTAAATCCGAAATCTTTTATTTAAATTAGTTTATTTGTTAATTTGCATTCTTAATTTATTTATCCTTTTCTTGAATATTTCCTTATAACTATTCTTATTATTATTATTAATTCATATAAAATTCATTATATTCGTTAGTTAAATCATCATGCTATTAAGTAATAATTGATAACTTCTACTCTAAGTCTTATTTCTATTTAAGTAATTGTTCATATTACAATTATTAATCCTTTAATTATGACTTCAATTTTTCTTTATCTCTTTCTTAATTCTTAATTTCTAACTTCAGCTGCTCTAATTCTTCTTATAGTGATTCCAATTATTAATTCAAATCAGATCCCTTGTTCTCTTCAAATTTAATTCTAATCTCGTATTCCTAGATTTGTTTCTACAAGAGTTGTATCTGTCTTTGTAAATCTTTATTCGAATTTGAAGATTTGAGCATGCTTTCATTTAAACTATTCTCCAGTTGTTCTTTTTCTAATTGTATCTCTGAAATTCTTTCTTTTAACTCATTTATTGTTTAAGTCATCTATTAGATTTGTTTTTAAAACTGATTTTTTTGCTATTATTACTCTTACTATGAATTTTAATATTATTATTATAATTTACTGAGTTAAATCTCTAATTATGAAATTGTGATGGTGGAATTTTCTTCCATTGTCTTGATAGTTTATTTCAATTATGAAATTTCAGTTTCCCTTTCCTTAATCGTTTGTTTGAGCTTTTCCTTATCCTTTTCTGAGTTTTTCAATTGGGATGTAAATTAAGTAGATTATTATTGGAGTTACTATTGTAATTGATTGATTTCCAATTCCAATTGTGTAACTTTTTCACTATAGCTTTCAGTAGTTTATTGCAATGTTTTTTTTAATTGTGATAACTCATTTTCCTTGTCTTTTAGCTTCTTTTCCATCAGTTAGAATTATTGTGAGTAATCTTATAAGGTTGAATTAAACTCTTCCTTCTCTTTGTCTGATTCATTTTTTAGATTATTGAGGTCATTGGTAGCTTGTGTTAATCTATATTTGAATATAAACAATAATTTACTTTTATTTTAATTGTTTTATTTCATTCTCGTATAATTCATTTTTCTTAGATACACTATTTTATAATTATTATTATTATTCTATTAATTATTAGTATTGTTATTAGGAAGCCTCCAATTAATATTACAATTCATCAAGACTTTACTAGGATTTTCTAATTAAATTTAATAAGATACCCTGAGATTTATTACAATTATGTCTTGAGACGATTGATCTCTAGAGTTAAATTAGCGATTTATGACTCATACTATTATCTCATGTATTCATATTCTGATTGCAGTTGATTTATTTGATTTTGCAATTAAGAATTTTACGTTTTTTGATTTTCCAATTCAGCTTTGATTCTATTCAAGACAGAATCCTATTCTTGTTTTTACTATTGCAATTTCAAAATTTGATCTCTAGAATTAGTTTATAGTTCAGCATAAGCTTTATCAGATGTATTTTTGTGATCTCTGATTTATACAGTGAATGATTCAAATTATTGTTTATTTTTTTGTCTTTCCTAATCCAGTTATTTTGTCAATTCATCAATCTTCTATTACTTCTGTTTCAATTCTAATTTTAGTTATTCTATCATTTATTCCCTCTCTTACAATTGCAATTACAAATTCGATATCTTCAATTCGTATGAGATTTTTAATTCATTAGATCCCTTTTGTAAATTTTACGATCTTAAATTGAGCTAACAATTCACTTGATATTTATACTTAATTTTCAAATTAATGTTAACGATCTTCTAATTATTAAACATGAGATTCTTCAATAAATTTCATCTTCTTGTTGATCTTCACAATCTTAATTTACAATCTTTCAATTTCATTGTAAGCCAGAAATACTCTACATAGATGATTAAAATATAGAATTACTGATGTGATAATTGCAATTGCTATGTCAACTTTTCATCTTCCAATTGTTCAGTGTAATCTTAAGAATCCTTCAATTAATTTGATAGCAATGTAATCTTCTCAACCTAATGATAACTACTATTTATACATATTCTTCAATCTCCAATTTGGAAGAGTGAACCAATTAATCATATTTTGAAGTGGTTATTTGTAATTGTTTTTACATTTCCTACATCTTCTCAAAAAATTGTCTTTCCTATCCCTTTTGACTCATCCTAAAGATCAATATAAGTATTACAATTGCAAAGTAAGTGAATCTATCTACCTCTATAAATCCTCATAACCAGACATGTGATCAATCGAAGTAACCTTCTGCAATTGTTCTTCTAATTCTACAATCCTTTGTTTGAGTAGTTTTATTTGTATCTCTAAATCATTTTTCTCTAAATTGAAATCTCTCTACATTCCTGTCGATTATCGTTCGATAGTTGATTACTTCAAATACTCGAAATGTTATCTATTGAAATATTTGGAAATATGTACTTCTACAACGTTAGTTTTCTTTCAGCTTCTGTTTATTAGGCTATTAACGACTCCTCAAGCATTTTAATACGTGCCTCGAGTTAAGTGACATAGATTTGAACTCTTTCTAGTTCTCTCGTTTGCTTGTTATTCTCTTGGATAGCAGTTTCCTTTTCCAGGTTAGTTTTACTGAGTTGCATCTTGAGTTGCCTGATTTATTCTCTCATCTATTGGACGGATTATTAATCCCTATTAAAAAGAGTGGATTAGGTGTTATCCGACTATTTATTTAGATTGACAGATGGTGAAAACAATGAATACGGTTCCTTTTCATTGGGATTTTATTTATACATTAAATTTAATTCTCATTAATTTAAGTGGAAAATTAAATGAAAAAGTATTATAATAATATCAATTGTGAGTTGGAATACAAATTTTAAACACTTTTGTATTATAAATTGTTCCACATTAATCTACACATTCAGAATTTATAATGATAAATTGATTATTTCTTTGGATTATATTATTTAATTAAATTAATATAGAATACGGATGTCAAAAAAGACTGTGGGATCAAAATACGAATACGAACTTTCAAATAGATTGGGTTAAGGAGCCTTTGCAGAGGTGTACAAAGGGAAAAATAAAGTGACAGGCGAAGTGGTGGCTATTAAGGTTATTAAAAGATCACTTTTGGCAAAATATGGGTACGATTATATTTCTATTTGTTTAAAGAGATGACATTCTCAAATAAATTCATCAGGAAGTCAGTATATTGCAATCGCTGATGCTTTCCATGAGGAAAACCTTGTGTCCATTTATAAATAAAATATATGAATGTCTTGAGACTTCAAATAACATTTACATAGTTTTGGAATTTTGCAATCAAGGAACTTTACTGGATAAAATAAAAAAGACTCGTAAGCTCCCTGAAGATGAAGCTATTTTTGTGTTCTTCCAATTGGTGTAAGCCTTAGACTTTTTGTGCGATAACAACATTGCACATAGAGACATCAAACCTGAGAATGTCTTCATCAAGGACGGAGTGTACAAATTAGGAGACTTTGGATTTGCGGGTCAAAAATCCCTTTACCAAACTCATTTAGGAACATATCCATATATGGCACCTGAATTTTTTAATTCTTCATAATATGACGGAAATCAAGTGGACATTTGGGCATTGGGATTATTATTCCACGAGATTCTCTTTGGAGAGATCTACTTCATTGGAAACAGTCAATATGAAGTGTCTCAGAAGATCTTAAACAAGTAATATACATTGGGATCCCAACATTAATGTTGCAAAGAGATCAGGGATTTGTTGCCAAGAATGGTGGAGAAGGATAAAACTAAGGTAAGTTAAAATGAATATCATTGTGTAGCGTATAACAGCTAAATAGATATTGGAGTTGCCCATATTCTAGAAGTACAAGAATGATAACAGATATTTGGAGATCGAGGAGAAGGAGAGACAATTTTGGTAATAATACTTGAAGAGTGAGAACACTAAAACTGAAGATGACATTTTAAAGGCTTAAAAGGAGGAAGAAGAGAGACAACGAAAAGAAGAGGAAGAGAAACAAAGATAAGCTTTGGAGAAATTGTAAAGAGAGGAAAATTAAAAGAGAGAGAGAATTAATTAATAGATCCCTAAGATTATTGATGTGATCAATGACATGAGGAATGGCATCATGATTATCATCAAATTATGCGAATTTCTACAAATTAACTTCAGTGAAGTCTGCAGATATGATATCTTCTACATTCTAAAGCAAGGATATCAACAATAACATCTCTTGAAAGAGAAATTGGATAATGCTGCAATGTTTACTAAGGAAGACCATATAGACTTTTAGAATATCGATCACGAGGTGTGGGACTACTTCTATCAAGATCAAAAGTATAATACTAATTTAATCGTAGGGTGTAATGTTTGATCATCGAAATTGAACATGATAGAAATCAAGTAAGGAAATCATACATCGATCAATTCAACTATTTGAACAATTATACTACTATCTAATACAATGGGTATCTCTTAGAATTCCAATAAGTATAATCTTGAATATATTGCTTAGATTGGAAATCTAGATATTACTGGTGGAATCCCTAAGGAATTATTCTTGAATCAATTGGCTTCCACTATCACATTTTTGAAAGATGAAGAAACCAAATAGAGTGATTATGGGATTAAGTAATTGTTGAAGAAGGCTATTATTTGGATATTTGTTGTCGCATTCTACCAAGATCTGGTTTCTGGCAATAAGGTTAACATTTCCAAGTTCTTGAGAAGCATCGATAGTAATGAACCAGAAGAAATGAAAAAATGCTTATATTCATAATGATATAGATTATTAAAATATTAAATGGATCAATAAGCAGACGGCGAAGGCAATTTAGGAATTTAAGTTCAAGTGGGCGATCCCATTGTCAAAAAGGATGGCCTCAAGAATTACGTTGTTTACACACTCAAAGGTTCTGATAAGGATGGCTAATTCGAAGTATTACGTCGATTCAATGAGTTTGATTGCTATCGGTATGTGTGAATTCTATGTAGAATTACTCTTCAGATAAGATGGCCTGGATGTTACATTCCTCCATTACCAATCAAAAAACCAGTTGTAAGTGTTCTCATATTATCAAAAGGGAAATATGGATTAAAAGTTCATTGATGAAAGAATGCATTATCTCAATCTCTTTATGATGAAGATGGCAACAATCCATCATTTATGGTATTCCGAAGAAACTAAACTCTTCATTAAAGCTGGTGGCGATATTGAAAAAGTATTCATTTATCATTATTTCTCTAGTAATTAGTTGCATAATAAAAACCAACTCCTGGTGATATTATCTACAAATATGAAACAGTGTTTAAAGAATTTTCAGGCAAAGAAATTAATGATCAATTACTCTCTAAGATTGGCAATTTCTCTTTGTTCTTAAAGAGAATACAACCATAATTAGAAATCTTCTAATAATAAGCCAAGTAACTTGTGCAAACAAGGTAAGCATATCCATCTTTATTCTAGAATTCAATGCCAAGAAAATATGAATCTCTTGTTAGACTACTTAATGCCTGAATACGAAAAGAATTGTTTAACTGAGTATGTTGTGAATCCAGAGAATAAACTTGTTTTCGTATAACATACCACAGAATTATACCAATAATATGTTATTTTAGTTTTTAAATTTTAGCGAGCAGCCAATGAGAAGAGTGCTCTTGATAATTTTGCTTTGGCTATCAAAATAGAAACAAGAGACATTGATGCTGTTCTAGAAGCCATACAATCCAGGGAAAAATATGAATAGATTAAACAAAACTATTTGACTAAATTGTGTAGTTTGAGCAATGAGAAAAAAGACATTGAGAATGGCAAAACTACTTTGAAATCTTTGTTTAATTCAAATAAGGAAGAATTAATCCAAAAAACATAGCAATAAATTGATAATGTAACTCTATTCCAATACTCTACATATAGATTTAGAAGGAGATTGAATAGTTGACCATCCTATGTGATATGATAACCATAATTATTGGATATTTCATTCTACCTACATACAAGGTATTCATCTAATAAATTTATTTTAAGCAAGAAAAAGAAAAAAATTATTACTAATTATTAAAACAGATGGCACAACATCAAGTTCAGAAGGCCTAAGCAGAGAGAAATTATTGGTTAGATTTAGATAAAAATCAAATGTTCAATGATGTCTGAATTTTATATCTAAATATTACATATAATATAACGATTGATGTAATCAAAGTAGACTTTTAAGACAGTAATTCGACTATATATATGCAATTATTTAACTCATAATGATATTTCTGGTGAATCAGCATCTTCAAATATAATATCTTCATCTTCTTATTCTTATTCTTTTTCCTATTCCTATTCACTAATTTCTTTTCTAGGAGCCATGCCATTTCTCTTTTTAGGTTTCACTCCTTCTTTGTGATAATTGTGGATATGCATGACCAACAAGCGATGTGATTAGAAATCTTTGTTACAAATTGAGCAATTATAAATTTAATAATTATTAGCATGCTTTTTAAGAACATGAGCTGTTACGTAAGTGAGAAGATTCTAAAACTTACAAAATGGACAATGAGCAAGCTTCTCTCTAGCTTCGCCTCTTGAGTAGCGAAATCCATCTGTTATTACAATGAATCTATAAACTTGCTACCTCAAAGTTCTATAATAATACTGATTGTGAGCTGCCATCACTTCTTCAAAGGTTTCCGCTTTCAAACATTCCAGTGCTCTCCACTATCGAAATTATTCAACTGTCTTGATTATTAACTCCTTGCTTTGGCGATGATTCAAATGTTAGTCAGAGACTTCCACTTAATATGGAACCAATTCTTTGAATTCTTCCGGAATTGAATCTACTACTTGAGTTAATTAAGGTAAAATATCTTTCGCTTCCTATTTTCCTTACATCTATTATAAGTTCTACAAAGCCTACTGTAATAGTTAAATCGTATGATTCAGCAAATTCATTAAAATAAAATACTCGTATAATCCATTTTGAATTTGGCTGCTTAATTATAATTACTTTATCATTCATCTCACCAAGTGTAAATATTACTTTCTGCGGTAATTCTATAATTTAAATTCGAGTTTGGATAGAACCTTGTTAAACATTCCAATCCTACTTGAAGTAATGAATGCTAAAGGGAGTAATTATTAAATTCTAAAGTTAAATCTCAACTTCTTGTTTATAATATTCATAAAATATATATATATATCATTTAATACTAATAGCTTATTCCGGAAGCTTTACTCTAATGTCATTTTCAATGATTTGCTTTATACACTCAATTACAAATTCAGAATTTCCATCCTTAAAGTATTAATTTAAACTCTTCACCAATTACTTTTTATCCTCTTCACTTTTCACATCAACACGTGGGTATTTTTGCTAAATAATATGAATAATCCTTTAATACTTGTTAATTTCTAGGCTACATTAAAGGTGATTAACCAGGCAAAGATTACTAAGGAACAATGTTGCCAAAAGCTTAAGCATCCTTGAATTATTATTGAAATTATTATATAGGCTTTGTTTCACATTCTTGAGGTTTTTGGGGTTAAATTTAATATTTATTAGCACCCTATTAATTTAGATTTATAGAATTTGGGGTAAATTTAGCATCAGCTTTTGGAGGTATCTGAATAACTTACGGCTTTTGAATGTTTTAATTGAAATTGTTTTAATTAAAATTGTTGTAATTTGGTGGATTAGCATTATTATTAGGGATCTATTGATTATTAATGAAGTTTCCAAATTATGCTTAGGCTTAAAATTATCCTGCAGGCTTTGGTTGTTGGAAGCTCTATTAGTTTTATTGATTGAATTAATTGAATTATGAAGAAGGATTAACTTATCCCTATTACAAAGTTGGATGTGATGTTGGAGCAAAATTTTAGGGCTACCCACTTACCGGTTGTTAATTTTTATTTAGGTATGGAAATTAGTTCATTGGTTGATTTCCTTGTTGTAAAAATGGTTGGGCTTACTTACATTAATTCTATTAAGAAAAGTTATTCATTAATTTTAATAATGGAATAATTTTTATTATTTTTGTGTGTTATATATAATATAGAAATATTAATAAAAATAAAATTGGAATGAGACCCAAACCCAGAGCTAATAATAAAGAGCAACAAAATGTGGAGGAATAATAGCCTTAACATGTAATAAAGGAGGAGAAACCTATTAGTGATAAATATCAAGTGAAATACAATTCAAAAACACAATTGAGATTAGATGAAAAGGAGAGTTTTGTATTAGGAGTGCCAGGGACTAAAATTTATAGTGTGAAATGGGATGCTGAGGATAAATATATTGCTTGTGCTTGTGAAAATGGGACGGTTCGAATTTTCAATGTCAGAAAAAGGTAACTGTCCTATTTGATCAATTCTCTTGTTCCCAACATCCCGTTTTCATATGTTAAATGGAGACCTCAAGCTTAGCAATTTAAGACGAGAAACATCTTTGTAACTGGAAACACAAAGGGCGAAGTGCAACATTGGCATATGACTAGTGGGAAATGTTTGGGAACAATGAAGGAAGACAATTCTGATATCTATTGTATAGATTACAATTAAGATGCAACCAAATTAGCGGTATGTGGATTGAATCCAATCATTCGTATACATGATGAAGAAAAAAGAGTAGTTGATGTTAGACTAGGAGTAGAATAAACATAACCACCAGGTCATAATAACAGAGGTATTAATTAAATATTATATATACAGTTTATTGTGTTAAATTTCATCCTCAAAATCCTAATATGTTGATATCAGGAGGTTGGGATTACAGAGTCTTAATCTGGGATATTAGATAAAAGAAGCCAGAAGCTAATTAGATTTACGGTCCCGTTGATTTGTGGTGATGGTATAGATATGAGAGAATCTTTTGATGGATAGCAACTGTTAACAGCATCATGGTCATAAGAGAAACAGTTGCAAACTTGGGATCTTAGAACTTGTAAACTTATTTGTAACTTTGATTGGAATTCTCAAATAAAGGTTAGTAACCAACCGTGCTAATTGTATAGTGGATAATTCTCAAGGTAGTTTGATAATCAATTGACTTTGGCAGGAGGATCAGGTGAGAATGAAGTGAGGATCTTTGATTCACAAGATTTTGACAATGCCTAAATATGCATCCATGATCTTTGCAGAGAAGTCAATACTGTAGACTGGGCACACAAAGATTCCAGATTTGCATTCTCGGGTGGTGACGGCTACTTGAGAATATTTGAAATATAATAAATAAATTGATTTAATGTAAGAACGGTTTATGAGGGCTATTCAAGAGTTGGATACCCTTTTAAGAGAAACTGAAACCGGCAAGATTAAGCTCAGTCTTACTCTTAAAGATCTAGCGCAACTGCATCACTTACAGTCCAGACTTCAGGAGTGTAAGTTTCTCAATTCAATCTATTCCGAGGAAAGCAGAATTAAGTAACAAATCAACGATTCATATTAAGATAATACCTTAACAAATCAGTGACAGTCAATCTATAAATTCAAGAAGAACTGTGTTCAATTATAGAATCAAAAATGGAATCAATTGCAGTATTTCATTTAATAATATAATCAAGTCTAATTTCAATCATCTAGATAAATTAATTCTCTATATCTTGAATTAAACAATGAATAAAGCAACTATGAAGAATGTACTTAGACAAATTAGCAATATTATATTGGGCAGCAATAATTTCACTTTGCTAAGATTTTAAGAAAAATCCGTAGAGAGTGTCTCTACTGATGAATTTATTGAAGTAAATTATTGTTCTCAAAATAGCAATAACTAACATTAGAATAGAAATTACAACTCTATTAATAATTCCGTGGCGACCAACTCGAAATCCTCACTTTTAAACCCACTGGGCAATTGCAATAGATATTCAAAAGCAGCTCTTTATAGGTCATTAGAGTACCATAGAAACTGAATGCCTAAACCCATTCTTCACTCATAATATATGAAGTATAACAGTTTGCCAAATTGCCTCAATCGAAACCCCATCAAATTAAACTGATTTGTGATCAACTAATTACTATAGGTTATGACTATTTAAATGAGAATTACCAGTAAACATTTCTGCTCAATATCATTTAGTAAAGATGACTTAATCAATTCAGTCAGAGCCATAGGTTAGTTTTTAATTAAAAATGCACCAATCTTATTTTAGGAATGCATTAGGAATGAAATCGAAAAAAAACTCAACACTAAATGGTAATAGTTTAATTTTATTAAAAGTGAAATTATTTAATCAACCAAAAACTCAAAAGACACTAGTTTTGCAATTTTAGAAAATTAAACTTAGTGCTTTATTCCAGTTATGTCGAATCATGTTGTTTAATTCTATTTACATATGGAGAATGTTTCATTGGACATAATCACTTTTGCAGATTTTGTATTAATCCATATGATTGAATTTAGATGTCACAATTATGGTAGTATTTCAAGCATTGCTTAAGAGAATTAAAAGATAAAGAATTTCTATACTAAATCATAGAAGTAAGTACACCAACCAAATTAGTAATTGCGTCTGATCTACATCTGAATATTATTTATTAGAGTGGTTCTGTGCCTTCTTCATGGAATTTCTTGGATCTCAGCAATTAATAAATCGATTGTTATTAAAACTTGACAGAAATAAAAATGGAAGAAATCTACAAAACCATGTTGCTATCATCTTTAGATGAAGTATAGAAGAGTAAAAAAGGAGCAATCGATGTTGGTTAAATCATTTATCATGATAAATATGTAGATATTGCAATTTATGTGAAAAAAGATGAGAAAAATGAAATTAATTAATTTTTTATTGTTTTTGATCAACCCAAGAAAAGATTTGAATCAAAACGTCACTCAAAAAGTGAAATCAAAGAATCTGAAACTCTGGCAAGCTTAAAATAGGAGAAAATAGAGAAAGCATGTTTAGTATTACAAGAGACATTAAATTTGAATCTATAAACAGATGAGATAATTGATATGCTCAAAGAACATGCATTGATGACAATCATTGAACAAAAAGAATTAATAACTGAAGACATCAGATAAACCTATGTTTTAGAGTATTATAGAAACTCTGAATAGGTGTAAACTTATCGTAGGACAGTGAGTGAGTCAGATACTCCTTTTGCAACTAAAACGTTGATTCAAGAATAATAATTGACTAATGCAAAAAGTATTAAAGTATCTAATAAAAATAGAAATGGAACTGTTTTAATTAAGACCTGATGATTTGGAAAATCTGAATAACTGGTGTTTTGATATTACAATATAGAAAGATCAAATAAAGCATTATACTTGGGCATTGTTCCATTTATTAAACTATTTTGACAAATACCAGATGTATAAGGAAACATTTTTTCAATTTTTAGTTGCAATAGAGGAGAGATACAACAGTCGTCGTAATCCCTTTCATAATTTTGAGCATGGTTTTACCGTGGCTCATGCATGTTATTATATGATAAAGAATAAGCTCTTAGATGAATATTTGGATTAAACCGAATAATTTGCAGCAATATTGTCGTCGCTTTGTCATGATATTGATCATACAGGTCGAACAAATGGATTCGAAGTTGCTAGAATGTCTAAATTGGCAGTGAGATATAATGATGAAAGCGTGTTGGAGAATCATCATGCTGCAATGGCCTTTAAAATAATGCAGAGGGAGAAATATAATATTTTATCAAATCTTTCTCAAGAGCAATTCTAGAAGGTGAGGAGATTCATGGTTTCCAATATCTTAGCAACAGACATGAAGAAGCACTTTGATTTAGTGTCATCTTTAGAGATCAAGTATAAAAATGGAGAAATGAACATCGTCAATATGGACACCAAAAGAGTGCTTTCAGGGTTAATAGTGCACACTTGCGATTTAACACAACCTACAAAGAGGTTTGAAATAACGAAGAAATGGTCGATTAGAATACAGAATGAGTTTGACAATCAAGTGGAAGAGGAGAGGTTATTGGGATTACCGATTACTTAACATTTAGTGTGTTAAAATTTACCAAAATAAGAATTATCATTTATTAGAGTATTTGATTAATTATAATTTAGAATATCATCCAACCATTGTATGCGTTGACGTCGTCGATTTTGAATAATGGATTATCTGTTGCTTTGAAGTGTTTGGAGGAGAATGAGAAAGAATGGACGAAATTACTGAATTGAAAGAAACAATAATGAATTGATTGATTTAATAATAATTATGTTTTATAGTAACGAAAGAGCTGAGAAATTGGTGGAATGGTTTCGATAATTCATTCAAAATTTCTATTCTTAGAATGCACAAATGATCACGATGGAAATGAACAAAGGCATTTTGACTCTTTTGAGTGTACCTCAAGAACAGAATGTGTTTTGTTCCCAAGAGTATACAGTATTTTCATTTCAACATTAAAGGTAGTAAATTTCATACCAAAAACATTGTTACGTTGTTTTATGAGAATCAGCAATGTATTCCTACTTGTGATTTCATTGATAATGATCATAAATCCATCCTTGTCTCCATACTATATTTGGATGATAATAGTGTAAATTGCAGCTGGAGCCATCGTGTTTATTTGCAATGAGGCCTTATGTGATTGGTAAAGAAGAAACTCAGACAAATTGGTGAATCAGCAATTTACAAAGAAAGGAGGTCGAAATGGTGTGATAGAGGAGATCAAATGGTAAGACATTAATATAGGGGATGTTCTGATACTAAATAAAGGGGATATGGTGCCAGCCGATATTATCGTCTTGGACACTGGATAGGTGAGAGATCGAGAAGCAGTTTGCATGGTAGATTCGTCTTATTGTGATGGAAAGAGCACATTCACAAAAAAGAAGAGTTGTTATTTGACTTAATGTAATTAAGAATCATTATATGACAAGTAATCGTATTAAGAACTAGACAGAAATCTTAGTTTGCTGAATATAGAAAATTATTAACTGGTCGATTAGAATATGAAGTACCCAATAGACATTCAAATATTTTCAGAGGGAGATTGAAATTGAAGAAGGATCCCAAGGTTGAATTTTTGTCTATTGAGAATCTCATACTTTAAGGATCAACTATAAAACAGACATCATGGTTATTTGGATTAGTTGTATATGTTGGTTCTAAAACAAAGAACTCTATGAGTTCAAAAAGAAATAAGGCTAAATGCTCTCATGAAGAAAATCTTATTGATTTCATATCATTGTGTATGATAACGTTAATTCTATTTTTCTGTTTAGTATTATGATTGGATTTATAATTTTAGATATCAATAATAGTGCTGTTAGCTAGATCAGATGACCTAACCTTTGCATTGAGGATTGATAAGAACACATAAAATGGGATGAAGATATTCAACCTTCTCATTCTGTATAGTTAATTCATACCAGCGAATATTTTCATGATTTTAGATTTAATCAATATAGTAAACAAGATCAAATTCAAATTACAAAGACCTCAAACCTTTTCTGAATTGGGTTCTTTGGATTATATGTTATTGGATAAGACTGGCACTATTACTACATCATATTATAAATTAGATAATTTTTAATTCGGATCACAAGTATTCAACCTGAATCATGATTAACTCTTCAATCAATTAACCAAGAATAAAAGGAGTGATGAGGAAGAAGACGTTGTCAAATTTGCATCCATCTTTGATCAAGAATACTATATACCCATGGAATATGATACAGTCAATCGTAAGACTAGTCAAGTGATTGATCTAATGCCAAACATCAATAAAAAAGTGTTAAAATCAGTTACAACTGATAATAATCAATAAATCTTTAATTAGATTCTTGAATAACAATATCAATTACAACCAAACAGTGTGAGAAGTCAAGATTTTCATGACATGGTTAGTCTGCGTAAATCAATGCTATTCTAACATAAGAAGAGAAATTTATTGCATCAACATTAATCTTTGATGAGCAACAATAATGACGAATTTCTACAAATGATCAATCAATATAAACATAAGTCTCCACAATTAGAATATGCTGAATTGCAAAATGAAAATGCTCTCTATTATGATTGCTTCATGAAATGTCTCATCTTGTGCCATGAGGCCAGACCAGTGTATTTGAATGATGTCTAATATGAATCATTTTCTAAGAATGAGGAGATCGCATTAGGATTTGCTAGATTATGTGGTTATTAATTAGAATCCTTTAATAAATTTGATTGTCCTGATGCTTATCTATGTAAAATAAGAAATCAAAAAATCTAATATGACATTTTGGGATTAAATTAATATACTGAAAATCGAAATGTTAATTCAATTGTTGTCTAATCCTAAAAGAGTGGAGATATTGGAGATTGGGATCCCTGTGCAATATCTCATCTGAGTGGTGAAGGCTCCAAGAATAAGTCCTTACTCATTTGCAAAGGCGACTATGATGCCATCAAAACCAAATTGCAATTGACTCCAAAAGAGAAAGAAGAATTAGAATAACACATTTAAATTTTAAAAATGAGAGGAGTTAGAATGATTCTCTATGGAACTAGAGTACTGAATGAAAAAGAAACAGAAGAATATAAAAAACAGTTCAATTTATTAAAAAACTCTCTTACCAACCAGGATGAATAATTAGAATAATTGGCCATACAATACGAATAGCAATTATCCATTATAGGCATGATTGGGTTTAAGGAAGAATTAAAATAAGATGCGCATGAGTTTATCCAATCTATCAAAAGCTAAAATATACATATATGGCTTTTAAGTGGGGATCAAGAGGCACAAACCATCAGTTGCGCTTAAGCCTTATAAATAAATGAATCCATTTACAACAAATATCTTCAGATATCGTAAACAGAAAACGAAAAGATATGGTTTCAATTAAACACTTGCATAGGCATCATTTAATCAGAAATGGTCAAATAATAGTTGTGCAATGAAGATTTCAATACTCTTATCAATTCAAGCAATACCATTTATGATGGAATAAATTACCAAAAGATGCTCAAATTTACACTTTTAGTTAATGGAAATGCTCTAAGTATAATCTAAGGTGATAATGATTTATTGAGTCATTTTAGATTTTTGGCAGGAATATGCAAAAATGTTATTGGGTATAATATGAATTAACAACATAAAGAGATGATGTGCAAAATCATTAGAAATTCACTTAATAAGCATGTGATTGCTGTAGGAGATGGATTCAATGATCAATTAATGATGCAATATTCTAATATTTCTGTTGAGGTTATTAATAATAAGAATAAGCAATCAATTATAAATACAGGTGATATAAAAGTCTAATATTTGGGTGAAATTAAGGAACTTCTATTATAAGGTAAGATTTATTAGGAAAAATTGCATCATTTAATTATGTATTGTTTCTATGCTTCAGGATTAATAGGGATGTCATTATTCTTTTTTAATTGGTTCTGCTATTTCACATCAACCAGTCTCCATGGAAGTCTTACTTTATTTTTGTATATACAAATATTTATTGGAATAAATGCACTTTTAATTGGACTATTCTCTAGATAGACTTCATATTACATTAATCAACTTTACCCTTCACTCTATATTGATGGCCAGATTAGAATAAAAATCATTTGGAAATTGTTTTTGTTGAACATTATGGAATCCTTTCTAACTTCAGCAGCTGTATTTTACATGATCCTTTACTAATTCAACTATGCAATGAATGACAAAGGATAAATTATTGGCTTAACAATGAATTCTTTAGGCATTATATATTGTTTTATCATCGTTATAACCTTTAGAGTATTCTAGGTATTGAATTCCTTCGGGAAATTAATGTAGCTGAAATTGGTCATTATTCTTGTTTTAATAGTCATCCTTTCAGATGAATACAAAAATGAAACATATCAAATTTTTACACGCTATTAGTGCATCATTTCTATGATAATCTCATTAATCTTATCATTTACTATTAAATACATATTTTAAGATATTATTCGATTGAGGATTTTCCCTAGCGTATATGAATAGATGGCATTTCGATATGAATTGGATAATGAGTCAATCAACAGTTAGTAAATAATCAATCAGCATTTGGATTAATAGATGTATATAAACTTATCATGATATAATAGAAACATTTCGCAAATCATATCTCAAGTATTCAAAGATTGTAAAGTCTTATCCCCCTACATTTAAGAAATATTGAACCCTGGTGATACAAAAATCACTGAAATGAGATTATCTAAGTTGACTCTCAAAATAAATGACCTAATCGTGGAACAAAAGTTTCTTTCTATTAAACTGCAAGAATCACTAAATTCTTATAGATTATTTCTTATTTTATTGTTAATCTACTTTGGAATTTATTGTTTAATCGATTATTTCATAAATCTTTAACAAATCCGAACTGGTGCACTTTATTTATGCCTCTTCTGCATTTTTGCTATTATCATCATATACGTAATGAGCAAGCACTTGCAATAAAATTACTATACACATTCACACATGATCTTTATTGTGTTTTATATCATAAAGATATCCTTGGATTGGCTGAGTGATGATTTAAGTTTCATTATGTCATCAGTATTAGTAGCATTATTTACAACCAATAACACTATGAACATCAACATCATACCAATTTTTGCATATAATATCGTTTATATCATTCAATTAATAGCAAGAATCATCTTGGTTCTCATTGCTGATTCATCCTTATCTACTTAAGGCTATTATAATCATACTAGGGTTGTGATTTATGGATCTAGTACCTCGATTATTTTGATGTTAAGTCTAACATTCAGTTTACTCTACACATTATACAAGACAATATAACGTCGAAGAACTGATTTCTTAGCCAAGTATTATATTGAATAAGACAACTTGGCTGCCAATGACATTCTTTCCATCTTAGTACCAAAATTTGTTCGCAATCAGATCCAACTTGGCAGTTTACATATGCAGGAAGCCTAAAATGATGTGTCTATACTATTTTGCTATGTTTGTGATTTCGATTCTATAATGAAGGAAGAGGGAAGAAATGTTGTATTGATGTTGGACTCTTTGTTCCGAATCTTTGATAATTTATGCTTATAACATGGAGTTTAAAAGATAGAAACTGTTGGTTATACATATATGGCAGCCACTGGTATTAAGGCTTCTGAAATTAATATCTCGCCTCACATGTTAAAAACAGAAAAAACCATGAGACTTGTCAATATGGCATTCGATATGATGGAACAAATTCAAGGAAGGCAATATGGCAAAGGAAATTAAATTGAAATGAAAATTGGTATCCATGTGGGGAGAGTTATTGCAGGTCTCATTGGGCATCATAAGCCCCAATTTTCTTTGATAGGTGATCCAGTCAATTAAACTAGTAGGGTTGGTTCTACTGGAGATGTTGGTGCAATCACACTTTCTGCAGAAGCATTTAAATAAGCCAAACAGGGAATAAAATACTATAATAAAAAATAAAAGGAAGCAAAAGGATTGGGATTGATTGATACATATTAAGTATTTAAAATTAAGCCAAACAATTATCAAATACCAATCAATTAATTAAGATGGTAATAAATAGCAAAATTGGTCATAAAATAATAGAAACTTAAGAGAAACCTAGCAGGGGCAGTTCAAAAAGAAAGCATTTTATAAAAGATTTAAAACTCATTAAATAATTTGCATGATAATAGCTGGGGTAGTTAAAAGATTTCTAATTCACCAAAAACATAATTTGCATAATCTCTATTAAATGTTCCTTCTTTGCCTGACCAACGCAGGCATAGTTAATTAGATACTATTCCCATATAAAGTTTAGCAATTTTAGATAGTGAGGAGACTTAAATACATGATCAGTAGCACGTATAAGATGATGAAAATAAATATAAAGGGTTATTAAAGCCTAACATACTTTTAATGATTCCTGAGAGCTAAAACCTAATTAAGAATGGTTTTTATAATATACATTATGAACAACAATAATACGAAAGTTATTTTGCTTTGTTGACACTATGGATCATCTTTTTCGTAATAACATTACTTAGCATTATTATAAGAGAATTTTTTGGTTAATCATACGACATATTTTTTATAAGAGTAAGTAATTATTATTTATAATTAGTCTTTGTTCTTGTTTTGCTTAATATTTTTGTTACCAATTATTAAATAAACCTATAAAAATATCTACATAAATTGGATCTTTTATGTTGTTTTTTTATATGGATAATTTGCAGTTATCTATGGAACATTCTTAGCTAATAACAAGTTAGTTACGATAATTTCAATGGTTGAATTGGTATATTTAGTTGTAGTCGTTTGTTCTTTGAAGATATTCACTTTTGTTTAAATCCTAGTGTTCATGATATTGGTTTTCACATCCTTTTTAGCCCTCTCTATCAACAATAATTCACTGACCCATTAATACATTTTTTATATATTGTCCTCTTTGGTTTTATGTCTAATTGGATATTATAAGGGAATGTCCGAATTAATAGAAATGTATAATAATCTTTAGCTGAATGAACAAAGGAAGGCCAAATAGATATCATTAGTAAGTTAGCTCTTACCTACACATTCGTATTTGAAGATGAAAAATAACACTCTCTATAATAGATCAGAATTTATTGATGATTTAGATGATGTGACTTTATTATTTGCAGATATAAAAGGATTTACTGAATATTCTCACACCTAAACCCCTGAAGGAGTTGTCACGATGTTAAGAAATCTCTTCACAGAGTTTGATAAATTATGTTTACAATATAATGTATACAAAATGTACACAATTGGCGATTGTTATGTTGTTATGGGATTTTAATAGGCTACCAAAAGAAATGTAAAATATAATATTTAAAATTAGCCAATTTAAGAGGCCATTAACACAGTTAAGATGGGTTTTTCTATGATTGAAATAATAATGGAGGTGAGAAAATTAATTGATTTTCCTCTTTTAAATATGAGGATTGGTATTCATACAGGGTCTATAATTGGGGGGATTATTGGAACTGATATTGTTCGTTATGATATATATGGATAGGATGTCAGTATAGCTAATAAAATGGAGAGCTCAGGAAGCGAAGGGCATGTGTAAATATCAGAGACAACTAAATTAATGATAGAGAGGGCTGAGAGAAATCCTTTTGTGTTTTAATTCAAACAAAATGTTGAATTGGCTAAATTCAATACTTCTATTAATGGGTACATAGTAGAATGGGAAAGGAAAAATAGAGATAGAGGGGAGAGCCACTTTAGAAGTGAACCTTACATAACAAGAGATAAAATGCAAAGTCAAAATTTATGAGCTATTAAATTTGTTGACAAATAATTAATTTACAAACATTAATATTATAATGAATATGTATATTAATACATAATTAGATTAATTTTTGTATTGAGAAATTTATTTTGATAGGTTTACTATCCAGTCCATTATTTTTAACTAAAACTGCTAGAGCGATTACAAGGCTTGCAAATCTGATTAATGCCATTTAGAGTGTTTGCATGGAACATTTCACAAAAGGAATATATTGATTATTTTAAAATCAACTATCAGGGTTTATTATTTTATTAAATTAGATTCATTGGTGAAAAACTAAATGAAAATACCAAAATCAGCTAATTTGTTTCTTATTTATACATAATATTAAAACTACTTTACCAGATAATTTACAAATTTCACATATAAGGGCTTACACATTTATTGTACAAGTACTTTGCTGTGATAATTTCAGATAAAGTTTAATATCAATAATATAATGAAATAGAGAATATTGCATTTCATGCTTCTTGATTTTTTGGGTATACCTATATAAACATTTATTGTCATGGGGGAACATCACATAGTATTTAATCATTCATCAATTATCTAGCCTCTTGGTTTACTAAGGATCTTCTAATTCAACAAAAGTCTTTCAAGTTAATTATCTCTCAAAATTATCATCTAATTGTATGAATGTATTTTTTTTTATAATATTGTTCCAAAAGAACTAAATGTTATACAATATTTTTCAGGAGTAAGTGTCTTATTAGTTTTGTAAATCACATTTGTAGAGTCTTGAATAATTAATTAATTATTAAAATTCTTATATTATATTAGTTTCATGCTTTAGGTTGAGTCAACCCATTTGATTTATTTCCTGAACTGCTTTCTCCTTTTACTCCACCGATTAATTGATTTCTTAGATTTCGAGACTCCTATTAGGCTTGTTATAATTATTCCTCTAAAGTGTTGTTTTATTCAACAATCTATTCCAATTGTTCATTCAATTTATTGATCTCTTCCTTCAAACCTTAAAATTTCTTTATTACATCCAAATACCTTCTGCCTTTGCCTATTCCTTTTAGGCTCTGTCATTTTATTTCTCTCCATTAGACACGCTCTTCACATATTTTTCTTTCCAACTTTCAATCTCTCTCAAATTGTCCTAAATCTTCAATTCTTAATTTTATTTATCCTTCATCAAACTCTCTCCTGTTGCTTTTAGTTTCTCCATTTAAGTTCTGATCTGCTCGTTTTCAATCAACAAATCTATCATCTATGATTAATACTTACTTGCAATTCTATTTTCCAAGGCTTTAATTTCATTTTAATATCTTTATGCTTGAGTTTTCAACTTATTTTATTCAATTGATGAACTCTTCATTTGTTCTTGAATTGGTCTTTAAGCCTCATTAAACTATTTCTACTAATTCTACAATTCTATTTTCATTTGATCCTGAACTTATTTGACTTCCTAAGCACACTCTAACTTAATCTATTAGATTGCATTATCCTTTTCATAAATAGCCTATTTGACTTAATCTTACAGTTGATTAATTTTTTAAGTCTTCTCTTTAATTTCTTAATTCTAGGAATCAACCTTTTCTTGGAGTTTCTAAATTTTATTATCAAATTCAGTTAGTTTAGTTTGTTCCACTTTTAATTTTAGATCACTCAAACTTTTCTCTCTCACTTTAGTTGGTAGTTATTTCAACTTTTATTGTAATTCTTCTATTTTGGCTTCATTAGCCTGTTGTATTTCCAATAACTTCTCATTGCCCTTCTCCAATTCAGAGATCTTTTCTTTGTTACTTGCTTCATCCATTCTGATTTTTTATTGCAATAAAAAATTTTATTCACTCAATTAATTGTTTTTTTTAAGCAATTTCTCATATTATTATTGAATATCATCAGACTCTCCTTAGACAGACTTAATACTTGATTATGTTAATTTTGACATTTCAGACTAAAGATTAGATATAGTATTTTTGGCTGATTTCAATTCTTCAACATAATTATTATTTTGATTGTTCAGACTCTAATTTGCCTTTAAATTTTAAATTAGATCAGTTTTCTCTTTTATTTCCAATTTATGTTATTCCTTCAACTTTAACATATCCTTCTGATGATTTTCATTAAGTATTTTAATCATCCTCTAGAATTTGTCCTCTTATTGTAGTTTAACTTCGTTATTTTAGGTTCCTATTGTTTTCTGCAAATTACCGTTTTCCTCTAAGAGTAACTATATTTTGCTTGTTAAATCTTAAACCTTCAATTAGAGGTCACCATTTTGTAGAGTCAAAATTTCAATTTCCATTGCTCTCTTGTTTGCAAGTACTCCTAATGAAGCATCAGTTGAACATTATTTTTCTCTATGACTCAGTTTCTCCCTTAAATCCTCGATTAGGTGATTTCTGTCCTTGAGTTAATCTTCAACTTAATGCAACTAATGGTTAGGTTTGATTGATTACTTTGATTTTTTATGATTAGATTTCATCATTTAATCTTTTTTCACAAAGAAAGCGATCTCGTACTTATTATTCCAATTTCTGAATGGTATCTGTCACATCCGTCTATTAATTACTTCTTTACATCTCTAATAATTATACTATTTTATCATTCTCCTCAAGCAACATTCCAATTTACTGATCCTTCTTCTCCCCAATCAACTTCATCTACCTGACATCGTTCAATGCATCTTCAAATTGCCTTCCTATTTATTATGTCTCCTAAGTTGCCTCCTCCAATTGGGATTGCTATCTCTAAATAAGATTATCCTATTATTTCAATTTCAATTCCAACTCAGAGATTTTCCTCTCCAAAACCTTCCTGGCCGCTAACTCTTTAGAAGCATCTGAGACTTCCTTAATGATTCTAGAAGGACTTTGATGCTAAGCAATTTGAATCCCACTATTGTTACCGTGCACACTCATTTACAACTGCAGATTTATTAATAAAATATTTAAAATTGCCATATACTTGAAGATTTAATTACTATAAACAAAATTCAGTTATCAGAATCATCATCTTAGTCATCCTATTCCTCTGCCTCCTCTTAATAGTTTTCAGGATCTCCCTCGTATTCACTTAAACCTTCATAATCCTCCTAAGCCACATCGTCCTTCTTCTTGTCCTCCTTATACTTTCTAATCTCATCCAACACGAATTCTTATTCCTTCACATCGTCAATCTCTTATTCAGACTCTTCAAGTTCCTCCCCTGCCTATTGTCTCTACTTCTCGGACATCACCTTCTACTTAATCAATTCCTCCTACTCATAAATCAACCTCTAAGCCTCACTCTATAGATTACTCTCTCCTTTTCCTTTTTTACTGTTGTGCTATTCAATTAGTCGAATTAAATCCTTGACTTTTATTTTGTTGCCCACAAAACCAAAGTCTTCTGAAGTTCTTTTCAATTATTTCTCCAAAAACAGTGTGTATTCATAGAACCACTTTTCATTTGAGAATATCGATAAGTAAATTACGATCCTATTAACAACCTATTGGCAAAAGTCAGCCCAAAATGTTCCTGACTATTTGTATTTGGGTTTAATGGAGATATTGATCAAAAAATCATAAGGTTTCACACTGCTCTTCAACTTCCTCCTCTTTAATTCTGCGCAATTCAACATTCTGAGGATATAACTCAACAGGTTTTGATTGACCTTATACACCTGAGACACTTTGATAAGGATATCAATCAACTGTAATTGGAAAGTGTAATTGTCGATGCAAGGATAAAAGTCCAAGACAGATTGAGCTATTTGAATGAAGGGAGGCATCAAATCAGCCAATTGATTCTCCCTCTTGTGAGTGCATATCACTTGTGCCCACAATTTGAGGACATACAATGTTTGTTAATTGTAAATGGATAACACATTCTATTGATTCTTAGAGACACTAGCATCTCTGATTTTTTTGACCAATTTTTGTAAACTCAAATACACCACTTAATAGGCTTGATTCATATTCATATTACACAACTCGGTGACACAATTGATCATGAAATTGATTGCTTCATAATTCCTCCAAAGCACATGTTTAGCTGATTCCAAATATTTCTCATAAAATTTCTACATAATCACATATATTCACATACCTTCAAGATGTCTTGTTGTTGATGATCAGGCATCGATTAGAACACCTTTCTGACTTATAAGAATGCTTGCAATTTGATTTACAAGGATAAGTGATCACCCCACACTTGTATCAATAATTTCAAAGCCTTCTTTTACAAACTCTCAAAGGCTGTCAATATAACATTCAAATGTTCTAGAGCTCGTATCACAAAGAGAATAGTGTCCTCCTAAGCCTCTTGTGTCTCGATGGTGTGTTCCAAGAAATTCATAGCCTTAATTAGAAATCCCCTTATGATCACTTGATGAATGTGAGACTCGATATGCTCTCTCTTAAATGTGTCAGCGTAATCAACTTGATAAAATTCTCTCAAAATATTTGGAAGTTCTAGCAATGAGAATCGTATTATCTTAGAGTAATCTTCAGGTTCCTTACAATACTTTGTAATCGCTTAATCAGGCTAATCTTCATCCTAATCTCCTTGAGATGCGAGTCTAAAAAGCTTGATTATTAGTGAAATGCTCTTGAAATTAGGGGACTCTGTGAGTTTCCCAAAGAGTTGATTAATAATCATTAATTAAATATGTTACTTGATAACATTAAAGTATGCAGCAATTATATATATTCAGGTTGCCATTCGTATACGACCATTCACAAATAGAGAATTGGAGATTTCTGACATTACGACTCTCTTAGTCTTGGATAAAGAGACCGTCTCCACTATTCCTCCCATCGAAGCTGGAATCAGGTAGAATCAAAAAACTTACAATTTCAATTGGGTCTTTGATAGAATGATATCACAAAAAGAAATCTTCGAAACCACCCTTGAGTATTAAGTCCTTTCAGTACTTGATGGAATTAATTTTACCATAATGAGTTACGGAGCATCAGGTTCTGGCAAATCACATACGTATAAGAATTATTCTCTAAATTATAGACTAGTCAAGTATGCTGAAGATTACGGATTGCTCATTCGTTCTATCAACAAAATCTTTTAAACCATCTAGAATAAGAAAAGATAAATTGCTATTAAATTTTCCTATTTGGAAATCTCACAAGAGTAACTCTACGATTTGCTTAATAACATGAACACCAATCTGGATATTAGAGATGATTAGGACAAAGGTGTAGTTATACATGGAATAAAAGAAATGGAAATTGCTAGTACACAAGAATTGATTCAACTTATTCAAATAGCTAAGAAGTAAAAATCACTTAAATAACATGAATTACTAATCTTCTCTCTCTATATCTAAGACCATCCCGATGGAAAATTGGTTGTATCTAAATTGATTTTTGCTGACCTTGGGTGGGTGGAAAGGGGAGCTCAAAAGAAAAAAAATATCTCCCTCTAGGTTCTCAATAACTGCATTTCTCTTCTGAATGAAGCAAAGAAGAAGAACACTCAAACATTCATACCTTACAGAAATAGCAAATTAACTCGGTTATTGAAAGAATCGTTGGGAGGGAACTCAAAAACTCTCATGATTTCCTGTGTAAGTCCTGCTATCTTGGGATATGAGGATACTATCCAAACACTAGAATACAGTTAGATGGCTACCACTATCACAAATTAGACTTCAATTAAGGTGTTTTAGGATAATGAATAATAATTAATTATGGAGTAAACTAATCATGATTTAGTTAATTAAAATGAAGAATTAAAAAAATAGTTAAATAAATAATCTCAAAAATAAAATGAAGTTATTCAAATGCAATAAATTGAGAAAAATATCATTCAGCATTTCAATCGAGAATCTTCAATACAGGAAGATATATTTAAAATGTAATATGAAGCAGAATAGATGAAATAAGGGATCAAAGACAAATAACAATTATTAGACAAAATCGATTTATCAGAAAGGAAAAAGTATAATCAATTGAGAGATGAAATTGAAAATGATTAAGAAAAGGTTGAACTTCAAGAAAATGAAATTAAAAAACTGCAAAAATAAACCAATGATTTCACTATCCAGAGGAAAGCATTATAAGATGTAAAATCTTTATTCATTATAGAATATAAAATAAAATAGTTTAGTTGACGTTGATAAATTATATCTCACTAATCTAATCGAAAAGTTTATACTGAAATTGCAATTACAAGAAATCAAAGCAAAAGAATCCATCTATCAATTACATCAACAAGAATAAGAGAAATTGCTCTCCCTTCAAAACAACTAAATCACCCTTAGAGACAGGATCATAGAAGAACAAAGAAAATAAATAACATAAAATTTTAAATTAAATTCAACCAAACGATATACTAAAAGCGATGGAAGTAGTCAACTAATTACTACATCCAAATCGAAGTTCAAATTGAATCCAATCCTTCCAAAGGTTTCTGGTATCTCTTATTTTAATTCTTAGATATACAATAAGGCTAAGAACCGTACTTGTACAGACAGAGCTCTTCAAGATAGACTCCCTAATTACAAACCCCTAAGAAGAAATCAAAGTCTAGATCCAAATCTAAATCAAGAGACAAATTCAAAACCAAAATACCGAATAAAAATGTCATTGATAACCTATCAACTCCTCAAATTCATAGGTATAATGCTTTGGATAGAGCTTCTCCTTCTAAATTAATTGATTCAAAATCTATGGTGGCACTTCCTCTGATTTAATCGAATAGAAGCGTTACCAAGTTTGTATATGATTCGAAAAGTGGAGGTTATAAGTTTTTAGAAGAGTAGTCTATATTCCCTTAATAAGTGTAAAAACAGTAATAAAAGCAAATACCGATTGAATAAGATAAGTCTTTTCTAATAAATTCGAGTAGAGGTAAGAATGATTCTTTGCAATATTAGGATCTTCGGTATAAAAGAATCACATCAAATAAGGTCTTCTTTTACCTGGTAAAGTGAATGAATCACTCTATGTTAAAGGGTTCATTAATAAGGAAATAGAAATGAAGATGAAACTGCATTAATTAAACTTAAAAATGAAGAAAGCACCTCAAAAAAAATGATTAATCTTTTTTATTAACTTATTTTTTAACATTCTCATTATTCAGACATATATCCTTAAGTTATTATTGCAATTTTATGAGAATTTAAGACTCAATTTAATTAGAGTTTCAATTCAATTTATACCAATTATTGGATATGAGTTATTTTTAACTATAAATCACGATTTTAGGTATAATAAATATAATAAATCACAAATAAATCATCTCTGCCTATATAATTCAATCTAAATTAACAAAAATGAAATACTATCTATCTAACCGTAAATTCAAGTGCAGGATCTTTTTATTTTATTTCATTGAAAATCTATAAAGCTTTTTCTTATTCATTATTTAGAAGTAAAATTTAACCTCTTTACAATTTCCCTTTTATATCATCTTAAAAATTTCGACAATAAATATCATTATAAGACTAAGCTTTTTTGATTTCATTTAAATTTATATAGATCAATGCTGAATTACATATTTTATTTACCTAAATAGAAGTGAGCTTAAGTTTTCTAATTAATATCAATGCACTACTCGAAACAAAAAATAGCATTTTCTTGTTGTGCTTCCTCCAGAGCTATTCTTCCTTTCAATAATTAATAACAATTACCTTACATTAAATATGCCTTCTCATTATGGGTTTGTAATATTATTTTTTGAAAATATTCTTGTGCCTTAGGATACAATTCCAATTCAAATGATGAAACACCTCAAATTTATAAATTAGATACCTGCTTAGTATAAAGCTTCTATGTTTTTATTGTTATTTTAAATAACAACATCAAATTATTCCAGGGCCTCCTTATATTGCTTATTTTCTTACAAAAGTATTCCATGCAAAAAGCACAGATTACTTGAGTTAAAACAATACTATTTAGCTCTCACGCATTCATCTATTGCCTTTTTGTTTTATTTTTATTCTCCATAAGACAATACTAGATTAAATGTATGAATTGTAATACTTTTATAGATCCATGCCTATTCAAAATTCTGTTTCAACTTGATCGCTTTTTCAAATTGCTCTATAGATAGCTTGTAGTTTTGTAGCTTAAATTCTTTCATTCCTGAATTTAATGATATACATGTGTACCTTAATCAAATATAACTGATGATGAATCATTTTGATTAATAATTGAAATCTATTAAGATTAAAATTGCTATCTTTTATCGATAAATAACTTACTTGGTTTATGTTAATTCAACCATTTGACCAGTAACAAGATCTAATTGTCTAATGATATTGGATATTATTTAGGATTACTAATTGGATTTACTAATTACTTAGAATAGATTAGATGAGCTTTGATTCTAACTAGCACTGGTTGCTTTTTGAGAATTGCTTAATTTTTAAATTTGTTCTTTGCTAGGTGAGAGTTCACTAAGTTTTTGTTATAAATCATTATCGAATATAAATTTTCGCTTTTCCAAGAATTCTTCAAATTATTTGTAAAATATATTGCTTTAATTGGGTTCCTGGTAAGTGATTTTTAATTCGGTGATATAGGTAATGAATTGCAAAAGTGAGTTTACTTTTGATTGTAAAATTGATTGGGAATTTTCTAAGTATGTCAATACAGGTTTTGAATTGTGGCCGGGATGGTATTGCTATAAACAGAATTTGCAAGACAATTTCTGTTGTTAACATTCCAAATCGATGCATACGTTTTAGACGATTTGATTTGCATGTTATCTGCAGTATATTGGCATTCTACTTATTGATTAAATTGAATGATAAATATATGAATAAGGGGAAAATATATTATTGCTGAGATTTAATTTATATTAGGTGAAAACATGTGTAGGAACATGTAAATTTTTGCAAATATATATTGCCTATATAACAATATTTAGAATAATTAAAATGAGTGTTAGATCATTGAGATATTCGCAGAATAGTATGAGGAAAAACAAAACCGAACCTGACAAGCTTAGCAGATTCTATCCGAATGATATGAGAGGTACTTAAAAATGAAATGTTTCCTAAGGGCCATTTAAATACGAACCTCTTTAAAATATTGCACATCCAATATAACCGGAGGATGATATTTCAATAAAAGATCCAACTCTGAAAACAGTAGACAAATCGAGGATTTCTCAATCTTTTTATCAAAATAACTCTCCGCAATTGAGCTTTAGATCGAGGACTCAAAAAAGCGAACCTGAAGAGAGTCCATTTGTTTTAAGTTTTCCACCGAAATAGCTGGAGAATATGCGCAAAAGAACCAAGAGCAGATAAATATTTAACTTTGTCGAGAGATTGAGAAGAAAGTTCAGAATAGACAACATGGCTAAGAAATTTTAGTACTTATACGATTAGGAAAACAATTTCGTAGACTACAGTTGTAATTATAATATGATAAAAAGAGGGACCTTATTGCCATCCTCCAGAATACTGCAAAGTTGGAATGTGGCCTTCTATATTTTGTTGCACGTGATACTGGTTTTTGTCCCTTTGTCTACGGCCTTGGAAATCCAGGACATAAATTACGTCTGCGTGGGGTTCAAATTAATAGATGTCGGAATTCAGTTATGCAGTTCGTTCACTCAAAATGGATTATTGATAACGAATTTCAAATAAATATCGCTTAGATACTACAAATCGTTTTTGTGTTACGATGCTGTATAACCTTACTTATATCCAATAGATTACAATAATAGGATTTGTATTCTTGAACACACTGCCCTAATCGATTAAATATAGTGTACTTACACTGATAGTTGTCAGTTAAATACGGAGGTATTATGAGATAGAGGTGTTTTTAAAATTGTAAGTGCCTGATTTAATATTTAGTGAGTATAACTTGTTCTCTCCTCCTTTGTAAATCATAAACAGCATTATTAAGATAGTCCTGCTCATTCACATCATCACTTGTTATCAATACGGGCTATTTTATCACAGCAATTCGTTATTTGATTCTTATTTGTCTACCTTCAGTATAGTGATTTCTATTTACACTTTCAATTCGAATTACCTACCCAACGGTTAGAACGAAATGATATTTTACAGTTGCGTTGCCTTTAGTTCAGTCCTTAGTTTCGCTTATTTATTGACTCAGTGTCTATATCTGTTTAAGAATGCGAGGTTCGCTACTCAATTGAGTGAGTTTTTGGCTATCAATAAATTGGATTCGAATTTGAAGTGCAAAATCATCAACCATATTTTGAATCAACCTAAGTTTTACCACAATTAGTTTGTATCAAAATTATCAGGACAATTGCTTCAGGAATTCAATACGATTTAGAGATTCCAATTGCTTACTAAATATTTTAAATACTACAATCAGCACACCATATAGACTTTAATCAATTTTAGCGAAGATGTTATATGTCAACCAAATCAGATAATCGTAACAGAATCTGAATATGACGATTGTTCGTTGTACTTTATAGTGGAAGGCAATTTTAAGGTCGTCAACAAGATGGGAGTCCAACTCTAAATTTTGGGAGTAATATAGTAAATAATTTTTTCAGCCAGAATAAACGTTTGGTGAAGTCTCATTTTACACTCAATTGCCTCGATCTGCCACAGTCGTAAGTGAAGGAGTCTGTAGGTTGTTGAGAATAAGGAGAGATATCTTCCTAAAACTCTTGACCTTCAGTGATAAAGTATTGATAGTCCCCTTAGTTTTAGTAATATTTCTACAGCATGAAGGACAGAATCCTCATACATAAAGATTTGCCATGCCAATGTTTTTGCTGTTCCTCTTATGATCATTTGATAACCAAATGTCCATTGCTAACATTTAGACCAGACAGAGAAAAGGTGATTAAATCACTTATATATCCCCGAAGAAATTTGAGACAAGAATGTACGAATATTGTTAAATGCTTAAGATAAACGGAGAACAGTCAAGGATACCAGGGCTTATGAATTTGTAAAGGATGTAGAAGCAAACCAAGATTACCTGTTATAATTGTATTCGGATAACCATTTTCAATCCTCAAATCAATTTAGCCAGTCAAATTTGCCATATGATGATGTGTACATCAAGGAGAGTTATGCATCTGCTCAAAGTTTTAGTAGAGTCAGCAGAGAGAAATCGCTCTTGAAAAGTACTTCCCTAATGAGAGAGAAATCATTACATGACTAATAATAATCTATCATGAATGATGTGTAAGTATTTCTTCTATCATTTTACAGTAGCAACTTAGACACGACTGATAAGTAATACATCCAACATTAAGGGGAAATGGATGACGAGAAATTCATCAGTCTGGTGAGGAAGGATTAATAGAAGAATACTTTTGCAACTGCTGGATTTGGAAATGCTGGATAATAATCTATTAAAGATTAGAAATCATTGAACATCATCGTGGAGAATGAAAGCTCAGAGAATTCCCCATCTTTAGAAAATGCTTTGGATTTGACTAATTAATTACAGAGAAATAAAGATCCGAAATTAACATTCAATTACAACTTCGATAATCAGATGAATGATTTACAGAACAAGTATCAACAATATTAAAGAAATGCCACTGAATCAAATCATTCAATGATGCGATAAGATAATCGACAACCCTCCATTCGATAGAACTCCTCCAGATCTCAAACCTATAGTCCGATCACATCAAATAATATCACTGCCAATTCATTTAGATCCCAAATGAAATAAAATGATAATACACAATCAGCTTCAGGTCTTCATAGGAGGTTAACTTATGAATCATTACATTCTCTAGATCCATATCAGGAGTGGCTAGATAGTATACTGACAGTCCAGAAATCTAAAGTAGAAGAGGAACCAATCGAAAAAAGTCAACCAAAACAGGAACGAAGATCTCGATAGCTCATTCGCAGTTTCAACCATTCAGTGCATTCGATGTATATATTGATTAATCTTGTAGAATCCTGTGGGCTTTACACTTGGAGACAGTGATTTTGAGAAGCTGTACTTATTCGAAATCTATCTGCCTTACAACAATTATGATATTGTGATCTTCAAGTATATACACTATTCACTTTCCTTAGATTCAATCAGTTTAATAGGAGTAAACAATTAAAAAGACTCTCTAGATACTTCTTTTCGTTCAAGTTAGCCCAGTAGATCCAAAAATTGAAAGCCAAGTAATCATTATTAAATAAGCATTTAAGATAGCACAATACAATTTAGAATTGAATAATTTATATATAATTTTTGGATATTAAAATTCAATCTTGCATTTAGTGTCTTAGTTTTTGTTTCTTCTCCACCTACTTATCGTAATCCTCAATAAACTTATCAAACGCAGCTGGATCCACAACAATCAGCTTGGAAAAACTAAAGAACCACTCATCAATGTTGACCTAAATGAAGATTATGACATATTTTATGTACTCCTCTTTCAGGATTGCATAATGCAACTGATTTTATGAAATCCTTAGCATCCTTTTCAGCTTGATTGTCAGTAATAGTATCCTCAATGTACTTATTGAATTTCACTGCCTTAGCATTATCGATATATTTAGAATTATCATAATCGATGTCCTCAAAAATTGCTTACAGCTTTTATTTTTATGGTTGTTTTAACGCATTAAAGGCCTTGCTTTCGGCTGTGAGATTATTGATAAGAGTTCTGATTTCTGTGATTCCATCACCAGGTCTACATTATCATCTTTTAATTACCTCTATCCTGATTGATTCTTTAAATTTGGATCGGCTTGATTGATCACAAGCAACAAAACAATTTCCTTATTCATCTTCTCCGCTGCCAAATGCAAAGGTCCTGATCCCTATGCATTGTACACTTCCAAAGAAGCATCATTCTAAATCAGATATCTGACAACTTCCAAATGATTGTGCATTATAGCATAAAACATTGCAGTGTTTCCTTAAATCTAGAAAAACACACTACCTTCCTTGTCTTGATAATTGACATCCACATTCCCCTAGACCATCGCTCTCTTCATCTCCTCCATAGAACCTTTTTGAGCATACGTAAGAAATTATTCATTATGAAAAGTTTCCATTATATATATATTATAAATACAATAGATTTTGTGATCGTTGATATTAATAAGATTACTCTTAATACCACATATTCTCATTTAGAGATAAATAGATATTTTGAAATCTTGTTTAGATTTCAAGTTAGATCAAATTGAAGTTATAGACAAAACTAGTATATTAATGAAGGTGATGTATGATTTATATTAATAAAGGAGCTTAGGAAATTATGGAGGTTAATGAAGTTGAGTTTATTTTGTTTTCTAAAAGACTTATTCAAATGGGTATTCTCAAATATAGAAGATTTTTTAATACACTCAAGACAAATGAGTAAGAGGGAATTGTTATTGAAAAATGAAGCAAACTTATTGTTCTAATCAAGAAATCAAAGATTAACATGTGTTAAATCTCTGCTCATGTTTTATTTCAAGCTATTAAGTTTTTGCCTTCTTAGAAATTCCCCAAATTTGTAATTAACAAATAGAATATGGATCCAAAATTATCATAATAAACCAGAACTATTGAGAATAAATATGGAGGATGGTGCTGACAAATTAAAATATGTATTTGGAATATTCAAGTATGTTCGACTTTCCCATATTTCTAGTCATTTTTCCAGACTAATTCTTACTAATCTTCGTTTCCAAATTTGCTTATAGCATATCCTTCTCTTTGGTTGTAGCTAAATCCTCCTTTGTAATATGATTCATCATCCCAAATGAAGCTCCCTTATTCATGCATCTGCCATTAATTTTCTTCATAAATAGCCGATCCAATGTATTTTCCTGTTTTGTATGTGATATCCCCCTTGAATCTATTAGGTTCAATAAAGGTGCCTACCATTTTCCAGTAATAATTTTAATCCTTTGATTCTATTTCCCCTTACCCAGATAACTGATTGTTTTTAAATTAACCTTTTATGTAATAAGAATTTTCTATATATATGGACCCCTAGCCATTCATCTAACCATTTTCCCATTATCCTTCGTATGACTTGTTATTCGTAGCCTTCAATTTCCCATAACCCTATGGCTTGCCTTTATTGAAATTGCCATAATAACACTCGTAATGAGTTATCTATTGCGTATCATAAACACAGTATAATGTTAAGCCTTTTCCTTGCAAGCAATTATTTTGCCAGAACCCTACTTTGTATGAGTATCCATCCTTAGATATCCATTCCCCCTTGCCCTTTGGTTAGGCTCCATCAGTTTCTCCCCTGTAAAAGCCATTTTACAAATTTCGAAATGGCACTTTCCTGTCTATCGAATCATACAACTTCTTCACATCAACGTCAGAATTAATATGCTCATTGATTGTTACCTATAATCTTGAGAAATAATCTAGATAAACTAAACAAATAGATTTACATTATGGGGTATTATGACCTTAACTTATAATCATTTTATTTTATTTTAATGAATATATGAAGAGTAAAGCTCAAATATATTATATTTTTTTCATTTCAACATTCCCTACCAATTGGATAGTTTTTATATCATTTCAGAAGTTGTTGACAACAAAATAGTAGTTCTTTTCTAAAGATTATTTATTTATTGCATTTAAATTATATTTTTCTATTATAAACTTATAGATGAGAAGGCTGAATCCATTTCACAATATAAGGTCTTATTACTAAGGAATATAAAAATTATAGAGAGTATTTAGTTGTAAAAGTGATGAAACTACACAAAAAGGAAGGTAATTCAATTAGAATGAGTTGAATGTTTAAATATAATTAAGAAAATAAGCAGAAAGTGGGAATTAGTTTACCAATTGATCTTCATCTTTTATATAAAACCATAATATCAAATACATAAATAGCCATGAGTATGACCAAATGAGAAACTAATTGGAATTGAAGAGAGAGGATATGGAGTTGGGAGATAGGAATTGAAGTGAATCTATAGAGTTTTGGTCGAAACATGCTTTGTTTGAGTGATGTTTATTTAGACATATTCATAACATTTAATCTAAGGCCTTAATAGCTTGTTTCCTTTTGAGAGGAGCATTGTATGGATTTAAGTCAAGTTCTTGTTTGCGCTCTTTTTGTTTGTTCTTTCCCAACTGCTTAGAGAATTGATCCTCGTCGAATTGATATTGATATTTCCTCTTTTCCTCTTTCACTTGCTTCTCAGTCAATTCCTTCCTTTACTTCTAGACCTTTTCATTCTTAAAGATGACAGGGGCGTATAATAATGTATTTAAGGAGCAAGTGTTAGTGGATGGTTGATTCAAGGATTGGATTGACAATTGGCATCTTTGCCTTAAATTGTTTTGCTCGTCGATTTCCTATGAGTTGTACTTCTCTTTGTAAATTGATTCCATGACTTAGGTAAGCAGTCTGTTGAGAGATAAGTCACTATTATTGCTATTTCTTTTGAAATGTTGCAACAAGGATGTACAAGTTACGCTCAATTGGTCGAGTGCCATTAAAACATGAAAGATGTCTCCTTCTTATCTGCCTTGCAATTCATACAATCTCCTGGAATTGGAACCCACTTTGCGTATCACTTTTATTTTGTGTTATTAAATTACTCTTTATCAGGAATTCAGCCAGAAGATTGATTCCTTGTTCTTGGCAACTGCTGACACCCGAATTGAGAAGCATTTACGCAACGTATATCTTCATCTAAATAAATAAGCATATGGACATACCAATTTACCAAGAGATTGTTCCTTTGATCTACTCTATTTAAGCATTCTAATTATTATTATTAATGAATCAATAATCATTGCCTTAATTGCAAAGATTCAAACAAATTGCTCAGACACCCGATGAAAATTCGAAAAGAGCAGATGAAGTGACTCGATTGAAGTAATAGGTTGCTCAATTACAAAAATAGATTGAATTTGTACAATAGAACAAATCATTCGTTATGAAAATTCAAAATCAGTAATGCACACTCTGTCTCAGATATAAAGTACAAAGGTACTTGATTTATTGTAGACCTAAATTGAATAACTACTCAAGCAGGAAAAATAGATCAAGAAATAATACGAATTTAAAATTGAAGAATTGTCTTAAGGTTAAAACCAATCAATTTCAAAGTAAAAACCTTCCCAAACTTCACAAACTGACAAGGTTCCTACTTTGGATAAAGAGATTTAAGTTGAATTGTTGATTGAATCACAACCCCAATAAAATTAAATTGATAATCTCAAACAATCGCCTTTGGTGAAATAATACGAAGAAATAATCATAGATTTTCATAAAGATTACCAAAACAAAGTCTATTAAGTGTTATAATATAAAGAGTTATATGAAAAGTAGAAATAGCAATATGAGCAATTCAAATCCTAACATACAAATTGTAATGAGAAGATTCATAAATTACAAATTGAAGTAAGCCTACTTAAGGATACTTCCAATCAATACAAATTGCCCGATAACATTATGAATCTTAAAAGATCGATTGATTGCACAATAGAATAGAATAAGATGAATTAAATTGTGATGAAGACTCAGGAGGGTGATTCTTCAATAAAGATGTATTAGTAACTATAATAGATAGAGACTGATCTCTATGTCAGTCTAAGATGCTCAAAATGCAAAGAGTTGCTTATAAATCCATTCACTTTTGTGCCTTGTTTTCATAGTGTTTGCCAAAGATGTCATTGCAATAAGTGTGAAAGATGCTAAAAAGATGCTACTTCTTTTAGAAATCTGAATTTAGATCTCTTAGTTAAGGTTTATCATTAGATTAAGGATATCCAATTAAAAAGATGATAGATAAAATATATATATATAATTGTTCAAGATTTAGTTCTTTTTTCATCTTTTAATGCTTAGATTCTCCAACTTTCAGAGAATTCATTTAATTTCTGCATAAATTCTTGATGAAAACCAACATTTTCTGAATGTTCTGGAAGTTAAAGTTTTTGCATCTATTTCTGTTGGTGGTGTTATATGGTTTGTTTTTGGTTCTACTATTTCTAATTGGCTTGAGTAGAGGTACTTTTCTTTTGGATATTGGATAGATCCAACTTCAACTTCACATTAGATTTAGTATCGAGAACGTTGGCATTTTTATACTCAAATTTTCTAACACTTTCAACAACGGATTCATTGTCAAATCTATTAAGGAAACAGAAGCTGGACTCATCAGAATCGTTGACAACCGAATTGTCTGCATCATGAACACTGCGTTCATAATGATGGTACTTGTGAACAAGGGATTTCTCTGTTTATTCAGCAACACTATCATCATTTAAGACTTCCTCATTATAGATTTTTTCAATGTCCACACCACTTTTTTTGATTGCCAACACCAATTTAATTAACTTCGCTTCTTTTTCGCTCATTTCTTGAATCTTTTATTGCATGATATCTTGCATTTCCTTTAACTAAATTGTATCCATGCTATCAATGTTGTTGCTCTAAGCATTTTTGTTATTTGCAATCTACTTGGGTGTTTTAAGTTATTTAACAGTTTCAAGCAAGATGTCCCTCTCTTGCTCAACTTACTTATAATTGGTTTACCATAGATCCCTTTCTCTGCGTATTTAGTCAATCATCTCATAAAACTTCTCCTCCTGTTCGCATAAGATTTGAATGCACATATTGTTGTAGAGTTCGAATAGATTATTGATTAGTTACTATTGGACATCACTCAGATCACTTAATGATGCAAATTGTTGTTTGTATAGTTGCATGGGCTTCTGCTGTTTTTAAAGATGCTCTTTATGGAATTCCCATCTGGAGAACTATTTTTTGTTAATCAAGGAGGCTTGGATTTGTGTGTTGAGATTCCAAAGTTCTTAATTCCTTTTGACGGGTTTCCTTTGGCCTGGACTCTGAGAATCACTCGTGAGGTTGCTGGTTAGATTCTATTTGGATCTATATAATAAAGTGAACACATACAGTTGTTAAAGAATGTTGGAGGACAGGATGTGACTGTCACCAATTAATTTGCGTAGTTTGAGTCCATTTTGGGACCCATACATTGAGTCATCTTCAACTTACATGGTGGCGAAGGCAGAGACACGACTTTTGGAGCTGCTGTTGGTTCGATTGTTGTTATTTTCCGAGATGTTGTTTTTGTGTTGCTTATACCGCTTCTCTTCGATAGATTTGGAAGTTGGCACCGCTTATTTGATGGTCAAACGCTATTGCTGAAACTTTGGAGGGATGTGGAAGAAGTTGTTGTGTTCTGGACAAATGTTTGGCTGAGATGTTTATTTTGGAATCACTACCCTTGCCATGGCTTCCTTCACCGTGTTGGGGGTTACTCGTTGCATTTCAGATAATTTAATTTTTATATACAATCATCGTACAAGTTAACCAAATCTTATTAATGCTCTAGTTAATGTTGATTGATCCTAACAATATTTATGTTCAGAACGAATAGCTGAATTTGGAGAACCATTACAAATAGATTAGGGTTATCATAGGGAAACCCCCATATTCTAAGGAGTATTTTGAGATTCTAAAATTTCTTATAGGTGTAATGTGTTAAATATTAATAAAATAATTTAAATTCAAAAAGATGAATGCGATTTAGGAAAACAAATTATTTGTTTAGCAAATTAAATAGAAACAAGACGAATTTAAAGTATAAATTCAACAAATAATAAGAAAACCCTTCAATTTCAAATTAAGAAAGAGCCTCCTCTTTTGCAATAGCATAATTTCAATTAACTCACCTCTCCAAACCAAAGAAGAGAACAAACTCCTAACCAAAGAAAGGGCAAGATTGAAAGTACTGTTTTCTGATTAACTTTAAGATGATAATTCATGTTCGCCCACTCTCTTTCGCACTCCACAAATCAGCTTGCATCAAGAGCAAAACAAAAGGCAACATCAATTGAGCAACAACAGAAGTCGCAATGAGAATCTGTCGACCTACAAGGAGAGAAGAGAACCGAACAACGATTCTGCCGCTAATGATTACTCCAGAGTGTTGGAGGAAGTGATGAAGAAATACAGACAACTGAAATCAGAATTGTTGACTAAGGACAAGGAAGTCTAGAAGACCAGGTTTTATAAGGAGGAATGGCTGAAAGAGAAGGTTTGGATTTATTATGTATAACAAATAGAAACGCAACGAATAGTTGTAAGAGAGGAACAGGATATTGAAAACCAAAATGCTGAAAATCATCGAATTAGTTCAATAAGATCAATTGAAATAGAATGATGATTCGGAGGTAGTGTCATTCTAATAACATTTTAGTCACTAGGGTATAATAGCTAGTCTCTCAACAGAAAATAAGTATTTACGTTAGATGTTGCACCTACATGATGTTACAGATATCTCAAGTCAATTGGAGCAACTAGAAGGCGAGCAGGATTAGGAAGTAGTCTACATCGATAATATCTTGAATACTTTCCTTGGCGATTTGAAGACCATTCAAAAGAATAGAAGAGAAAAGAAGGACAATTAATAATTAGGTACATGATGTGATGCGAATATTCTAGGTCAATTCAATTCATTGTCGCTAACAGTTTTGAACAAAGAATCAAGCTTTGTTGATTTGTCAGAGGATAAGCTTCTAATGGAATAATCATGATTTAATTTTTATATTTTTAGAGAATTGTCAACAGCATCTTGAATAATGATTCTTCTATAAGAGATATTTGTTTTTACTTTATAAAATTAATAAAATGTAAAAGAGAGAAGACATGATAAAACAGTTATAGAATCTGCAAGACCCCTATGTATTGCAACGTCAAAGGTAACAGGATGTCAAAAGGAAATATGAGCAATTGTTGGCATAAGTCAATTTGATTTACGATGAAGATGGAAAGGAACGTCAATATACTGCTGATTTTCAGAGATTCATTCATTTTTATAAATTTCTGGCTCGTCGACCAGACAGTGAATAGTCCAATTAATCAGTGATAAACAGATTGCAATTATGGGTGCCTGACACAATAGTGTTGAATGATAAAGAAATGCCAAATTATTGGTTATATTCAGATTCAAGAGGTTATGTATTTAGAACAGATACCTTTACCTCCAAAAATGTTATTAGCAAATTGGCCAATTACACATCCCCAGATGAACTTGTAGCAGTTGTTAAAAAACAATAGTTTCGCAACATGGGAATTAGTAGGCAATGAAGTAAAGTTGGTATGTTGTAGAGATTTACAATCATAAATAAATGTCAACTTCTCAAATCGCATGGACATGTGTGTCATCCAGAAGTTCGTCAAGAGCAATGGACCTAAAGCATTTATCTGTAGAACCATTTGGAGAAAGGATAAGAACCCCTATTGCTACATCATAACAAACAAAGAGGATTTCTTCTCTCCATCAACCAATCCCAAGACTGAAATGACCAAATATGCAACCAATGTGAATCTGCAAAACTCATGCACTATTGTCAACACTTGTAGAGGCAAATATGTTGATGAAACTGTCCCTTACGTTAAGAATCTTCTCACTTACATCTATATTCATTTGCACATCACCTTTCTAGAATTCTCAGCTGATTTCATAAAAGATGAAAGTGGAATCTGGTGGTTTATCAATGTGAAGGGATTCATTATTGACAAAAGTCCAGAAAAGATCATGTGGAAGTCCATCACTCATTATGGAGAAGAAATTAATGAGGAAGAGGGCTAACCAATAGTGTAAGAACGCAATTCAACTCCCAAGGCCAAAGTTGCTGACATGTGTTAAAAACAAAAGATTTGCAAGTATTGTGAGCAATCCTATCCAGAATAACATTTATAATATAAGATGACTCTTAAGATGATCATTCAAACTGATAAACATCTCTACTGGAGAGGTAAGACATTCAATTGGATTGACAGGTCTGATGTCACCAATCTTGAAGTCAGCAACCTTTATCATGAACATAAAGTTTGTAAACCAATGTTACACTTTATACAAGGAAACAGAATAGCTAATTGAATTGTAATTGCAATTCAATAAGTTGTTGGGATTGCCTAGTGATTATGATACTATGAATTAAATGTTGACCCTCAAAGCCAATCAAATAAATAACGAAACTGTTAAGACTGGATTAGAGGATTCTAAATAAATATTCAACATCTCAGCCACCAAGCAATTGATACTTAATAATTAACTCATTCCTATGATTCATAATACAGTCATCAAGAACCTCAATAGGTTTAGATTTATGATTTTAATACATTCTATCAGGGATGTCCCTTAAAATGTAGACCTGTCTAAACATTATTACATTGAATGCAATATATTCGACCAGAAATTCAAAATCAAATTAGATTTGATCCAAGGTTAGTTATTTGACAAAGGGTATTTCTTAACGTTAAATCGTATGCGACTTTACTATTTCTTTAGTGATCAACGCAAAGGGTGGGTAGATTATGTAAATCAGTTAAAAGTACTGCCTATGTATCTATACTAAGACAATACAAGGATTGGCACATTAGAATTAGAACTCTAAGATCTCCTATCCGAACGAGTCATAAGAAGAGAATTCCTTAAGGTGTTTAGTGTGAAGGATTGTTATCCAATATTGAGTTGGTCGCTTAATGTATTCAATGTTTAATAATTTAGTTAACATTAGGACTTGTAGATTCAGGACCAATCAACGTTACAAGAATTAAGTTACAAGATCATTTCGGAATTCAATTACCAAATCCAGATTATTGCACTTGTGAACCTCTGCCTGCTGAATGGATGACCATTTTAAATCAGAAAAAGGATGTGGAGCAATCTAGATTTGAAAGATAAATGACTGCCTAGACTTTAAAACGAGTTTCCACAGCCCATGCCAAATTGTAGAAGAGTAAATTCGAGGGATCCTCAGTGTAATAAGAAATGGAGTCTTTCAATGATTCTACCAAGGAGTTATACAGTTAATTAAATTTAAAGAAAGAAATTCAAATGTATGAAGTAGATGAGGACGATCGCAGACAAAAGAAAAGAAGACAATTTTAATAGTATGATTTATGATATAGTATTTTTTGTTAATTATCATAATGTTATAATCAAACCCAATTTCTTAAAATCAGCTATCTTCTACTTTACATTTCTGGCATTAATCTTGTTTTATGATACTATGATATTCTTAAGATGAATGCCAATCAATCCATTTTAATATAACTAGAATAACGTATCGATGCTTTTATCAGTTAATGAGTTCTGCGATAAATTTACACTCTGAATATTATCATTCTATGACAAAGCTATTTTAAATAAATCAATAAATGTATAAATACCCTTAAATAATTGCAAGAGTTGATCATCCAACAATTTGGATTTCATGATTTTCACACTTTTGACCTTCCAATGTTTAATTTCATTCCCCAGAATTGCCAACATATCTTTTTCTAGATTATTGAATTCTGCCACATCTGTCTTCCCCTTCCTTAATTCATCCATGTACAATTGTAATTTCATTGGCACTTAAGATTTCTTTCTGCAAATCGAAGCTCTATTGCTTTCCTACTATTGTTAATTGATAATTTACAATTGGTGATAAAGAAGGATCACAATTTTCAGTGTTCAATTGATTTGTTGGAGTGGCACTCCTGTAAACCCTTTTGATTTGATTAACAGGCTCTGCTTCATTTGCAAATGTGGCACTTACATCATTTAATAAATCAGTTTCTTCGATGGATTATTGCATAGTAAATGAACTCAGTAGATAGGGTGATTATTGAGATTAATTATTATTATTGCTGGTGATCAACTCAGGACCTTCAATTATTTTACAAAAGTCTTCCAATTTTAAAGCATTCCAATTAAATTTAACATTAATTTCTAAACCAATCAGTTAATCCCTTTTGGCTATAATTTATTACTGGTTTTTCTTGATTTCTCTTATTTAATTAATGAATACTCTTACTATTAGAGTTGAAGTCCATTGGCTCTCAAACTATCGGTTAGATTGAGTAATTCCCAATATTTAACCTATTCTGTGAATTACTCAAAAGCACTTTATGCTAATTTGATCCAAGATTGGCATTCCTTCTCTATATGGATAGTATTGTTCCACCAATCACTAAACTTATTGATATTATTGGATGTAGCAATCATTATTTGAGACACTAACTAACATTAGAACAGTATATACTTACAATCTTTTCTTTTTAATCTATTTTATCTCTCAACTCCCCGAATTCCTTCTTCAACTTATCGACGGCAATTCGTTGCATTTCTGATACTTAGGCTTACAGATCCGATTCATGTTTGGTTCTGGAAATGGACTGGGATTCTTTATGAATTCTTTCAACCATCTCTGTAAGTTCCTAGGCCTTCATCTCCAGAAGTGAAATGATATCCTCTTCGCTATAGATGTAATGACCCTTGTGAGTTCCAAAGAGAGCACAATTTGTACAAATCATAGTTTGGCATTGGAGACAAACAACTTCGAGTTGTCTGCGATGGGTTTGACACAATTTCCCAGAATTATAAGAGTAATTTAGAGAGCCAAAACTATCGTCTTGATCTCGGAATCGTTTTAAATTCAATTTCTAGGGTTTCTTAACAGAAGTAGCCAAGTCATCCAAGAAGTTACTGTCGATACTTGTTTCATCTGATGGCCATTCTTCAAAGGTTTGATTACTCATTTTCGATTCTAAGTTTATTGGTCGTAGATTCTTAGGTTTTTATAATTACAGAATTCGCAACAGGCTCTGATTGAGAGGGAAGTCATCTAGTTTCAATTAGTTTTATTTGATTTGTTACAACTAATGTAAAAGGCAAAACACTACTTAGGACAAATCATGTTATAAATGTATAATCCTATCAGCCTCAATGGTTTGGTCAACTATTTGTTAAACACACAATTAGCAAATAGTATCTCCAGTATTTGGAATCAAGCGAGGCCATCTTACACAGATGTCTAAGTCTTGGCCGCAAAATGAACATAAGAGTTCCATAACGATTTAATTTTAAATTTTATAGAATATTTTTAATTATTTTATTTCTCTCTTATAATCTCCTTTGTAGTTTTGTTATCTGCAGTACCCAATATCCCTGTATATCTGTATATCTATATATCTGTTTAAGCAAATGGCTCCTGCCATCATATTATTCGGATTGATATATTTTATTTTTATGATGAAGAATATAAATTTTATTTTCTAATGTAAGACAATCGAGTTAGATACATGTACAACTTTCCTTATATTCAAGAAATTCTGCGTATTCTGATGGTAGAAAGGACCTTTCTAAAAACATGGACGTTGTGTGTTTTGCAATGGCTGTTGAATTGGACAGAATGATACAAGAAAACAATTTGCTGAAGGAGGAAGTCAAGGAAGTCTCTAATCTTAGAGTGGATCGACTCAATTATGAGAAGCAAATTGGAGACTTGATGAATAAGATACAATAGCTACTAGCTGAAAATGACATGCTAAAACGGGATAATGACAAATTGAAGACACTCCTAAATCAAGCTAATTCAAGGATTCAATAGCTGGAGGGACAAGTTCAAGACTTCCAATAGGAAATACAGACAGTGTCCAATAAGCTGGAAGACATTACTGGGGGAGATGGTGGTAAATCAAATAGTATGATTTCTTATTTTAGATTTTGACATTGAAGCATTAAAATAGAAGGCAGAGTTGTTGGATAGCTTAGCTAAAGATGGACAATCAATGGAGGATCTATCTGACTTGTTGGATTCACTTAGAGAAAAAGCAGAAAAATATGATCATCATTTAGAACTATTAAATGGAAGAGATCTTGAAGATATTTTAAGTGATCTCGATGAATTAGAAAAGCTGAGGAAATTGGTTAAAGATCTTTAAGCCAAATTGAGTGATATGTAGAAGGAATTAGATGCATTGAAGAAAAAGTCAAAGGAATTAGATGACATGAAGAAGAAATTGGGAGATGACCCCAATAAGGAGGTTGACAAATTGAGAAAACAATAAAAGGATTAAGAAGATCTCAAGAAGAAACTGGCTGACGCTTTGAAAGAAATCGAATAATTAAAGAAATTATTGAATGATAAAACTGCTGAATGCAATAGGTTAGGTTAATAGGTTGCTCAACTCACTTAAGATAATTAGGCTAAAGATCAAAGAATCTAGGAATTGGAGAGATATGCACAACAATACCAGGAATTGCAAATTAGAGTCAATAAGTTGGAGTAGGAATTAGATAATTTGTAACGACAATTGAAGGATAAAAATCAATAATTAGAAGATAAAACTAGATTGATTGATAATTTAAATAGAGAGATCTAATAGTTGAAGGCTGAGTTATAAAGATTAAAGGATTAGATTGCCAATTTGGAGAGAGAAAAATAACAATTATTGCAGCAGTTGCAATAGTTGCAAAATCAACTTGCATAATTGTAAGACTTATAAAGAAATTCTTAAGCATAATTACAATAATTAAATTCCATTGCTAATCAAAATGATGATGATAAGGAGAGATATGAACAAGAAATAGATGAATTGAAAAATGAAATTGAATCACTCAAAGAAGAAATTGAAGAATTGAATGATTAGATAGCAAAATTAAAGAGAAAGATATCAGAATAGGATGATTAGATTGATTCATAAACTAAAACTATATCTAATAAGATTGCAAGAATCAAAGAATTAGAAGATCTATTGAATCAAAAAGAAAAAGCAATCAAAGAACAAGAAATTAAAATTAAGAAATAACCTGGTTCAAGTGTTGTTTCTGGTGGCAGAGGAGGACAATCAGGATAACCAGGATAAGGTGGTTCTGATGTTAACAACAAATCTTTGGCTAATTAATTATAAGGGGGAACTGGATAACCAGGCAGTTATGGATCTAAAAGTGGTCTTGGATAAGGGGATGAATCTTAAAGCACTGTGCTTTTGAGTCAATATTAAGATGTTTTATTGGCTTATTTGTTGATTGCAGCAGAGAATGAAAGAATTAGTGAGGCTCTAAAAAACACAATTCAAGATTATGAACACGTATTAGTTGACTTAAGAAATGCTGAAGGAGAGATCTCTTATTTAAAGAAATCTATCTCAGATTTGCAAGCTTCAATTAATGATGTAAGTAATTCTTTGATATTTAGCTTCGATTGCAATTGGATGAGGCAAGAAGAAAGGCTATGAGCAATGATGAATTAGAAAAATTAAGAAGGTAATTGATAGACTATGAAAACAAAATAGCCTTGTTGTCAATGGAATTGTAGAGACAGAAGAATGTCTCTGCTTCAGGAATATAAGTGATGTCCTAACAATTGTCTTAATAAAATACATTTGGATATGAGGACAAATAGATCAATTTAGATTAATAATAATTCAGGTCACAGAAAGGATCATAACGAAATTTGAATATCAATGGTGATGATGAATCTTGGAGATTACAGAAAATCATTGAAGATTAATTATGTTTGATAGTCCTTATGTCAGCTGAACTCGAAACCTTAAGATCATAGGAGTAATCTAATCAAAAATTGAGTTAATCAGGAATTCAAAGATCAACGGTTTAAACTAGTTAGGTTTAGGTGGGCTACGGAAAAAGCACATTATATTGAATAATCATATAGTAAAACATCAATAAATTATAATTGATATTCAATATATATATATACTATCATTTCTTTGAAGATTAATATAAGCTTTGGGATGATTATCTTTGATAAAAGGGGTAGAGCCTGTCAGTATTAGATAGACTATTAAATTGATTATTGGGTTCTTCCTGTTTTTTGTTGTAATCCATGTAATGGTATTTTGGCAGTTATTGTGATTTGTCCTCTTTCATAAAGGAGTAATCAAGCAGAGATTTGTATTATACATGTTCCGTTTTTAATCTCTCTTAATTGTAATTGTAGGGAGAGGCCTTCTCTTGCAATTGCTTGGGTTATTTCTGAATCTCCAAATGAGATAAATACATGTGCTAAGGAGCAACCTTCTTATAATCTAATTGAGTCTATTAAACCTATTGTTATTGTTTCTATTATTGCAATTGTGATCTATCCAAAATCTGCTATTTTTATAGCTAGACTGCTGATTTCTCGATGTAGTCGTTTAGATCTTAATTGTAGGAAACTAATAGTGGAATAAATAGATTTATTACCTTTTGGTTTAACTTCTTTAAATTCCAGATTTTATTGGATGTAATTTCTAATAGATTTTAGTTCTGGAGATGCATCTTCTTAACATGCCTTTCTCAGTTTGTCTAGGGCGTCTGACAAATTCAAGATTTCTTTGCAAATCAGAGAAAACTTTTAAAATTGAGCGGCCTCCATTTTTTATAATTATCCTTAAATGTCGCTGATGTCCAATTCCTTGACTAGAGAGTCGATGGTCGATGAATTATAGTATTTTTTAGATATGTTTGTAATGTGTTCGACGGTCCTATTGAATGGGTTGTAATGCTTCTTGACTTTGTCCTTCAATTCTGTGCATCTCTTCTTCAGTGTTTACATTATGTCTGTTTAAGCTATTTGCATTAGTTGGTCAAGAGTGTTGTTTATACCTTCCGCATTCTGCACGTCTTGGATTCTTTAAACCAGAGAGTCACTATCATAAAGAGACACATAATCACTTTGTAATCATGGTTTCGAATTCGTTAATTTAAAGAACTTTGGAATCGTGACGCTTATGATCCCAAGCACAGGATTTGCAAATCAGTCTCCGATCAGTGCATTCCTTTAGAGTACAAACGAATTCTATGGGGTTTCTGTATTTGCAAACGCATAATCGATGATTCATTAATATATGAAAAAGAAATAAGTCAAATCAAAATCCCCAACGCCTGTTAAATAACATACTGCAATCGACACTCCAAGATTCAAGGAAAAGGCTTCGTAACTGTCTCAAATACCTCAATCCCCCAAAATCCAATTAGACTCAGAGTACTTTTCTTTTGGTGGAATGGAGCAACACAAAAAGCAATCTAAATCTGTCCATGAATTCAACGACAAAGATAAGAAACTCAATAATAGCTTTACCAAGGATAAAAAAGTTACAGACACTAAGCCTTAAAAAGTTTAGATCTTTAATAACAACTACCAAATAATTAACATCAATCAAATTGAGAAAAAGGAATCAATTCGTTCCTTACAGAGATAATTTCAATAGATTTTGGAGAACCAAGTACCTAAAAAGTCAGCTACTCCTGTGAAAACTAATCCATCTAGTAGTCCTATATAAAGTACAGCAACCAAAGCTCCCGCCTTCCCTTCAGCCAATAATTACTTCTAAAGAATCAAAAAATCAGGTTAATCCACTTTGTTAAGGAAAAAGTTTTGATTAATAAATATATATATGAATTAAACGAGCCTCTCTCCCAAAGTACACAACATTAAATTCGATCAATATTCTTTAAATATGAAAAGTGTCTCTCGATGTAAAACTGAATTGGGTATAGTTCATTAAAAACCAATGATCAACTTAAAACAAATTCTTAAGGATCACAAATCATTTAGTAATCACACCCAAATTGAAACAGCTCGAACATACATGGTGGCAACAGATTCATAAAAAAGATTCCTAATTCAAAAACGAGGATCTCGAGTTGCAGCATCAAAACCAAGATATTCTGAAGACTTAGAGAAAATAAAATAAAAATTTATTAAAGTAGCCGAAAGCTGGCATCAAAAAGAAGAAAATTATCTCAAAGAACAAACTCTTCTGAAGTAAGAAATTGCGAGATTGCATGTGATTATTTAGCATCTTACAAAAAAATGAAAATCTTCCTATTTATTTATAAATTTACTAAACTTCATTTTCAATATCCTATTATTTCTAAAGCTTTTGCTCTTGTGATTAATTCTTTCATACTGTTTAACCACAACTACTCAATACTGTAATAATAATTATTGATTAAATTGCAAAACATTTTATTACATTATAGAGATGACCACTTATATCAATAAATATGATCTGTTCTTTGGATTCAAAAATGATTGGAAAATTAGTTATTCTACTTTGTTTAAGATTACTTATTTTCTAAAATTAATAAATGTAATTTATACTTTTAATATATTATCTGTGTATACTTATATTCTTAAAGAATTCTCTAGGCTTTTTAAGTTTGATTATCTTGTTTTAAATATTTAAGCCTTGATCTTTTAATTCTGACAACCCCTCTATGATAAAGTGAGAATTTTTTTTAAAGAACATTAACGATATTAGTTACATACCTTAAATTATTCATTTGTAACTATATTTTTGCTACATAACAAAACTAGAATTAGTTTAATAATTCTTCATAAATTGAAAATTAAGATAAATCTTCTGAAGCTTTTGAAATACTCTTAATGTAACCTTGCATATAATAAATTAATATGACATATAGAGATACTACTTTTTATATCAAAAAATCTTTATCTACAAAATAATAAATTTAGAATAGAAGGGAGATCATCAGTATTATTCTTTTAAAATTTTGTTTGATAATGTCGATCATTTTAGATACAAATTCATTTAATCAATAGTTGAAGACAATCTTGGATATAGACAAACTTAATTGGTATTTGAAGTGACTCATAATGTCAGCCATTATTCTTATGATTATTATGAGATGTTATATTATTTGAGTATAATCAATTTAAATTTTATTTTTTTATGGATAAATTTGAGAAGCGCCTAAACCAAGTAAGTATGGGAACACCCAAAAATCCGGTTATTCAATAATCCACTCTTAAATAAACTGATGCAGCAAAGAGCTACGCTTCTTTTAATGATTTTAATAAAATAGGAGATTAATATGATAATGAAGCTGTTAATTTGAGATCGCAAGTATAAATATTAGAGGGGAAGCTATAATTTTACGAACGAGAATTTTAAATCAAAGTAATGATAATATTGTTACAAATTTAAGTAAGCATCTCTTGAGAAGCGAATACAATAATTGATATCCACTTCATCATAGTTAACTCAATAGAATACGCAATTAAAGTTGCAATACTCAGCCTTATTGAATGAGTATCAGCTTCTTTAAGAGAAATTGGTATAATAGGAGAAAGGGCAGAAGGAATACGAAGAGAAAGTGAGATCATAACTTGACGGTTTGAATAAATTCTAAATGGAAAAAGAACAATTAATATAGTATGCAAATAAATGTCGAGAAAGATCAAAATAAAGGAAAATCAAAGTCAAAGACTTGACAGCTAAAGTATAAGATCTACAAGAATAAGCCAAATAATATGAATTATAATTTGAATAAGCCAACATTGAAAAACAATAGATTTACGATTAATTGCAACAACAAATCTTATTGCTTTCAGAATAGAATGAAGATTGGCAACTAAAATATGAAGCAATTGTTGAAAATTTCAAGCATCATCTGGCAGATTAAAATGATAGCCAATAAGAAGAACAATTATTAGCTACTCATACCATATTGGATCAGCATGAAGCCTAGACAGTTTAGCAACAATTGGAGAATCTGAGTTTAATAAATAAGGAACTAAACCAATTATTGAGTCAATTGAAAAATGCCAATTAAATCAACTCTTCAGCATTTGAAATGCCTCAAATAAAAGAATTAGCAGAGATGTTTAATAGAATGATAGATAAATTAATGGAATTATAATAGAAAAAGACTTAGCTTAAGGAATAACTTAAAGTATAAATATATAAATAAGATTTTATTAGTAAAATTAATTCCATTTATAGCAGTAGGTTTCAATAAAATCTAGTTCTGGGAATTAGAGTCCGAACATGCATGATGAGAGAACTAAAATGCTCTTCGAATAAAGAATCCTTGAATTAGAGCAGTATGAATGATTTAATACTAGATTCTATTAGAGAGACAAGAAGCAAGAAAAGGTTCGATCCATTACTCAACCAAAATATAATGATCAAAAACTAAAATAAGTTATTTCAGTTATCTCCTAAATGCTGGAAGAATTTCTAATTTAACAAAGAACCCTATCTCTTTTAAATCTTTAATTGAATGATATGCAATAAGATCTCAGAATCCAGCCAAACAGAAAATTGTTCAAAGTTGTGACTTGGGTCATTATTACAATAACTCGTATTAAGAAAATCAAGAATTCTTCATATTATCAATAGTTTGTCTAATACAACAAATTAAGAATTGAAATGCCTATTTTTGATTCATTTAATCAAATCCTGGAACTTGTTACAAGTCAACAATCTTTAATTGACACATTGTAAAGAGCTGTTGATCAAAAAGGATCTGACGGGGCACTATAAGAATAAGAAATATAGTAGATGGTTGATTAAGAATTGAGAGAATAACTAATGGCTTTGTAGATTGAACTTGACAATAATAATAAGAAGATGATTGAATATAAATTGAAATCAGAATAAGATATTGAAGAAAGAGATTAGCATATTCTTGAGTTGCAGGAATAGCTTTAAGAACTCCCTAACGATTACAATTAAGAATTGCTGGAACAATTGGAGGATCAAAATAATAGAGTTAAGAATATTGAAAATGAATTTAATGTTTTGCAGGATTTGATCAATTCGTTAATGTGATTATTGTTATATCAATATTATTCTATTTGGATTTCACCCAAAGAATAAAGTCCATCTTATATTATATTAAATAACTTATAATTTAAGAGAATCTATAATAGAATATTAGAATAGAATGGTTTTATTATCATAATTATTTGTATAAGGATGATAACTAAATAGGTAAACTGAAATTTTATTTTATTTAAATTTGATATATAATGTTATCTGCTTCATATATTATCATGAACATTCTCTATCAAGAACAAGAGATCTTTCTTATCAAACAAAGTTAATATATTTATAGGTTCAAGAAATCATAGAAAAAAGGAAGCTATATTTTTGATTAATTTTATATTTTAAAAAGTAATGAGTAATGAAGAGTATATAATTGATAACTTAATCAACGAAGCTAGATTCTTTATTGATCACAGAGATGATAACGAGACCTTTCTGAGTCAAAGTTAGGATTCTATAGATAAAATCAACCAGATCCTAAAGAAAAATATCAGGTATGCATATCAATAATATTCAGATCATCATTTCTAGATATTTCATAAGAGGTGATCATCAAATATTGTGAGGCTTGTTTGATTGTGCCAGACAAGGCTCATATCGCACAATAATACATAGATTTGTATTTCCAAAGGAACACATCATAAGGGCAGTTTTACATCCGCGCATTATTTATAAAAGCTCGTCTCATATCAATGAATGGACATGACCGTCTACTAAAGGCAGAAGACATGATAAAGAATCTAAAACTCTCTCTCACATATGTGCAATAAGGATTGGATATCATTTCCAAACCTGAGAATAAATAGAAATATGGTTTTCTCATTTACAATGCTTCTATTTGTGTTTATAACATTATTCGTCCTATGCTAAAACCCTAATGGCAATTATCATTTGTGGATATTCTGGATAAAATAGATAAAATGTTTGAAGAAGTGGATGAAGCCGATTATGACTGGAGATGTCGTTTTACATGGCTTCTTTTCTATTGTTTGTACGATGATAGGAAGGCTGATGCATTTAAATTACTGGATCGTTTGTGGGAAACCACAAAAAAGAAAGGAGATTGCGATTTCTAAAACTCATTGTTAAGATTGAGAATTCACATTGGCAAAGAATATAAGCAAGCCTTGGATTCTGCCTTCAAAGAATCAGAGTCTGCTCCATCAGAAAAGGCTTGGAAATCCTTATTTATGCTATAGAAAATGAGAAGTGGATTAATCCCTGAAGCCTAAGTAGAAAAGGAGTTGATCAATTTAATTAATTCAATTTCGAGTGCAGTGCTACCTGGCAATGAAGTGGCAGCAACCAACAAACTAGCACCAGTGTTTTAGGAAAGATTAGCAGAATCTGGAAGGGTGGCACTTCAGTATAACTTAGTCAACATAGCAGATTCAATTACAGCATTTTTAAGTAGAGTGAGACAATTGCATTAGAAGGCATACATTTTACATGAATACAACAAGGCTGAATTGTTTATCAAGAAGGCTGGTCCACTTATCGACAATAAAACAGGAATGAGATTGAATTCTCTTTAAATAAAGATGTAAGAAGTCGAAAGAAGAATTGAGGCTTTGAAAACAATGGAAAAAGTGATGGTCACAAATAAGAAATTAAACGACCCTGACTTAATATTTGAAGGTGCTGTTTTAATATGGAATATTTCCCTACCATTTTTGAATGCTCAATATAGAGTTCATGTCTACAAGGCTTTTTCCATGGCTTGCTAATTGTTAGAACAACTCCAATGTGTTGACCATGCTTTAAGAGTGAATTTCCATATAGAATTAGCCAAAAGTGACTTACAAGAAGATTTAGCTGTTAAAGCAGAGTAACACATAAAGAAAGCCTTGTAACTTGATTACAGTGTGCCATTGGGGAAAGTGCAATTTAAATATGATGAAGGAGAGGATTTGGGATTGTATTAAAGACCATATGATAAATATTTACGTAATTTAGAGGAGAAGATTAGACTGAAGTTAAATATTTATCAGGAACCAAAAAATGATATTGAAAGAGTGATTACTCAGTTAGAGAATGTGTAAGCAGCCAAGTCTGAAAATCTCAGGATTGATATCTTATAAAAGTGCTTAGGAACCATTGTTAATTTGTAGGAATAAGAATATTGGTATGATACAAAATTAGACCTTGTAGAGGAAGAGTAAAACAGAGAAAAAGTATTAAAGAAGCAAGAAAATTTATATCAATTTAAATAGAAGAAATTATTAGCAGCTGAAATTGCAAGACTAGCATTTGAATGGGAATTTAATGATTTAGCATTTAAAGCGTGTGAATTTGTATGCAATGACACGTGGGATGTTAAGAATGCTTCAGAGATGATTTTGGCTTAAGTAGAATGTTAATATAGAATGGCCTAAATGATAATTGATAATTTGATTAAGGATAATTTTGAAATTCCTTTTGCTGATCCAATTAGAGTAGAAGAAAATGAGAATGTGGAAGAGTTAAGTTAAGAAAAGAAGGATCAAGTGTTGTCATTAAAAAGAAAGATGTGTTCTAATTTTGTCAAAGGATTGAAGTTGGCAGATTCAATTAAATAAACTTGGTTAGTATTTAATGGGGCCATATACATTTGGAATAACTTCTTAACAATTTTCCGTAATCCTATTAACGATAGTAAGTTATTGCCAGAAATCACCAATTTATTGAAAGAATTTTTTGAAATTATGAAGAATTCTTTGAAGGAAATTGAAAAAAAATTGATAAATGATTATGATATCGATACTAAAATATAGGTATTGGCTAATATTGGATTGGTTTATGCAAGGTTGATGGAAGGCAAGGCTCAATATGATGAAGTTATGAGAGTATGTGAGGCACTTTTACTAACACCATTATCTCCTCACACTCGTAAATTGATCAATTCAATCAAAGCAAGAGTGTCAGGTACTGCTAAAACTAGTGCAGCTAAGCCAGGAGCATAATAAGATAAGAAGGGAACTAAATAACCATAGTAATCATCCTCTGATAGTGTCATCTTTGATGTTGTTTCGTAATTGGAAATTATTTAAAATTCAACCAATAAAGCACAAACTTAGGATTTGATTAAAAAATGCTTTGAAACTCTTGTAGGATGGACAGCAAAAGAGAATGATGAGACTGAACTAGAGTTGCATGCTGAATTGTGGGCAAGATTAGCCAGATTGTCATTAAATGAAGAGACCATATTAATGTACAAGTATTCATTGAGATGTGTTCAATATTCATTACAATTATTGACATCGGATTTATCCACTATTCCAGCATCAAGGTTAAGGTGGTATTCATTGGCTGAATACATATATAGTGAGAATTTATTAAGAATGCTTAACACAGAAACACAAGAGACTGAGTCTTAAGAATCGTTGCTGTTTTCAAGTTTGTTCCATGCAATTGAAGCTGCCAATAAAGGATTAAAAGCAGGAATCAATAGTTTAGTGTTGGATGCATCCAAATAAGTATGGAATTTATGCGCAAGATTGGAAGAGAGTGCTTAAAACAGAAAACATTTGATTAAGCCAGTCTATTCTTGTTTGAATTATTTGAAAGAATGCAAAGAAAAGAGTGAACCTGATCTAGTGTTATTGCTAGCCTAATTACTCTTTAAAAGTGCTTTAGAAAATGAAGATTACAAGTTAGGGGAAATGGCAGCTGATATGGTATTTGAATTAGTACCCAAAAATATGGCCAAACCCATTTGGGAAGCCAAAATGATTTTTATGAGCAAACAAGGCAAGAATGAATTACAAGCAATTGTCAATATGAAAGAAGCAGACGCATCTCTTTAAGCCAAGGTTTGGATCAGATTAGCCAGAGTTTCGAATAACCTTTATAAATAATATACAGCCTATAATAAAGCCATTGAATTATTGAAGAAGGATTCATCGGTGGAAATTGTTGAAGTCTTAATAGAATTTTCTGAATGGTTACTCAGAAATGGAAATGAAAAATAATTAGTAATTGAAAATTTAATGTAAGCAGCTGATACTTTAATTGAAATTGAAATGGAGGATGATGAGGAAGAAGAAGAAGGAGATGAAGAGCAGAACTCATCAACCATTTTCAGCAGAAGTACAAGAGGCAAAAAGTCTACTGTTTCCAAATAATCAAAACAAAAGTCTAAAATGACGAAGAAAACTACTAAGAATACTGTTAAATAAAATAAAAGCAAAGAATAAAAATCATAAATATCTGGTTAAAAATCAAGTAATTAAAGATTTTCAAGAGCTGCAAATGTTAGAACTACTACAATCAAAAGCAATAAATAGAAATCAAAAATATTTAGACCACGAGAGGAGGAAGCTAATCCAAATAGATTGAATTGTGCTCATTATGAACGATTAATGAGAATCCACATCATGCTAGCCATGATTGCTGATACAATGGAATAATCTATTCAATTTGCTATCGATGCTAAAGTATTTTTAGTCAAAATCATTGAAATCTCATTTCAAACTATGAATGAATTTGAAGAGAATGCTGCTAAATATACAAATATCATTGACGAAAAAACAAGCAAATAACAATAATAATAGCCGAAACCTCAATAATAAGATGATTTCTCACCCAGATACCTGTTACCTACTTGCATCTAGGATTGGATCAAATTGCAATTTAGTAAAGAGTTCCTAGAACGAGTAAAAAGCTATGAAGATTTCAACTTTATGGGTAAGTACTTGTTTGATAAGGCTTAATTGACTTACACCTACATAAACAATCTTATTAGCATATTTGAAAAATACGGTCTCTAAATTCATAATATACCTATTTTTGTATTTTAGAAGTTCTTTGTTAAGGAAATATTGAATAATTCTTATTTAGATAGATTAATTGATGTCAAATTTAGCAAGTGCTTACACTTAGTAGGATTTCATAGTGAGGCCGATTAAATGTATCAACAATCAAATATTGTTAAATTTAAACTCACAGAATAAGAGAAAAAGCAATTGCTTGCGAAAACTGAATCTAGTGTTTTGCAATAAAATCGATCAAGACCTGCAGATATAATGGAACAGAATCTACCTTAAGCCAATATTATTAGTGAGATCTTCGTCTACACAATTCTAACAGATTTAGGAAATGAGTTAATATTCTAGGGAGAGATATATAGGGCTAAAGAATTATTGGCTGAATCCCATAAGCATGCTAAAATAGTCTCAGATTTAGAGTTAATGGGTAGAATCTTATGTCTTCAAGGTCAAATTGCATTCCTGGAGGGGGAATTCAAAGATTCAATTGAAAACCATAAACTATCCCACAAATTGATTAAAAATGTGAGTTAATGGGAGGTCTCATCTATTGAGACATACAAAACCTTATATAAGCTTGGAAAATACGATGACATCAGACAATTTTTAAAATAGATTACAGAAGTCTTGTTAGAAGTCTTAAATAAACCCAACTATTAACCTAATAAATTGCAGATTTACCAAACATTAACTACTTTGTACATTTTACAATCAAAAATATCAGCAAAAGACTTATTTAAAGAATTTTCTTATGAAGCATTTAAATTAATAGCAGAGAACTTGGAAAAATCATTAAAGTGTATTTAACATGGTGGATTTATGACACATCAGGTAGACCTCATCATTAATTTGGTCAATAAAATTCTAATTTTTATTAGAAATAGAAATTATACTAAAATAGACTAAGTAGAAATTTACTTTAAAATACTCTAAAGATTATAAAATTCTATATTGAAACCTCTAGAATAATAGAGTAGATCACTTTTAAAGTATACTTTATTAATTGAGAAAGAATAAGAGTCCATAAGATCTCCGATAATGGATTAATAAGCAAAAATAAGAGTGATAATGGCATCTTGTTTTATTGAGATGGGATTGATTAAATGGTTAAGAAAGCAACAATCATTACCTGATCTCTAAGGGTCTGATGATGATAACAATAATGATCAACAAGAGGATAAACCTATCGAATAGTTAAGTAATTATGAACCTCTTTAGAAATTCTTAACTTAATTAACAATTAAGATTTAAAGAGCAATTCAACCGTTGCCTTAACGATTGGAGTCTTTTGAAAAGGCTACTGCAATTTTGATATCAACCTTGAAATAGTTGAAAAAGGATTCATTTTGGTACACTATTGCTGAAATTGAATTAGTAAGAGCTAAGCGATTCTTGGCAATCAGTAAGCAATAATTGGATGATGTTTGGGATGCACCAACATTGTCTTAAGATTAAATACCATAATAAAATGAAGAAGATAATATGTTCGATTACAAGACAGATGCTTTGCAAAGTGCACTTAAACTAATTAAAGATCTAGAATCAAAGGGGTTCAATGTACTTAAAGCAAAAGGAGACAATTAAACTATCCCATTGGAATGGAGTATATTTGGATTCAAATAAATGAACTTTTACTTGAAGATGTTATATGAATCAGCATTAGACATATTAGGAATTAAAAGTCCTGAGATTTCATATGATTATCTTTGTAAGTTCCAACACTTTTCATTTTGTGAATAAATGTTTAACATGGTCAGATAATCATTCTTTGGAAAGCATAAGATGATAGTGTACATCAGACTGATTAAGATGATCAATGCTGAATGCGGTTATTTAAGTTTAGAAGCAATAAAATTGCTCACAGAAGCTAATAAATTATGGGATAATCTTATGATATTCCCATTAACTGAATTGCAATCCCAATTGTAATAAAGTGCTGGTTTCCTCATAATGCAGATGAGTCAAAATAAGTCTTGTCTATATTTAGGATACTTACATAATACAAAATCGCCAGTTTATAAGGTCTAACGATTGCCCCTTGATTCTAAGAGCCATGATTAAATGAATCAAATGAAATCTAATTTAGATTAAATTAAAAATAATCTGATCAAGACTCCTATAATTTAATAATAGGATTTCATCAAATTGGAAGATGATATGGAAAAGGAATATGGTAAATATTGCTAAGAAGTGGAGTCATTCATGAGCTTTGTTTCTTAGATGATTGATGAAAATATAAACACTCAAGAAGAAGTGCCGCCACCTGTTATTGATCCTAAGGCTCCTCCTCCCAAAAAGGATTAAGGAAAATAAACTAAGGGGAAGCCTGGTAAAGATGAAGTGGCCTCATACGAATCCACTTTAGAATAGGCTCCTGGCAAGATTGACACCGTAGTCTTATTACTGGATCCTAAATTCTTTGACTATCCAGTTGAATAATTGAGTGTATTTTATAAAGTGGCTGCAATGTCTAGAGACTTTAGTATGGCTGTGTATGTGAGAAGATTAAAGAGTGTTGGTTTCTAAGTTCAATTGAATAATAGTTAGAAGGGAATTGAAAAAGATAAACTGAAATATTTGACTTACGATTTCAAAACAGAGGATTAGGATTTGAATTTAGACGAATTTAACTTATAAAAAACATTGACTGAAGTATAAAAAACAACACCACAACTGAAATTTGAAGGAGTATAATTTTTGTATTATATTTTAGACCTTTTCTTAAAGTAGATTGGCATCATTAGGCGAGTTGTAAAAGTACTCCTAGACAGGTTCTTCAATCCTTTGGTATGGGTCTCCTGGAGTGTTGAATATCCTATCTTCCAAAGTAATAATTGATCTTTCAGAAATAAACACTTCAAAGTTTTGGGTCATATTTGATAAGATGAATGCTAAGAAGAGTTTGATAGAAAAGTTCACATCTTTGGACCCAGATGGAGAGAAAACCCATATTTTAGAATAGAGTTTCAAGATCTCCGTTTTTTTGACTCTCATTGACGTCAGCACTATCTTAACCACCTAATGGTCTCCTTAAACAGTTGAATATCTGAGAGCGTTTGAAAATTTGATCAAGCAATTAACTGAAGATATTTATGTTGCTGCTTGTTTACAGAAATATAAAGTATTGAATTAATGCTAATTGTGATAGGCTCCGATCATCAAATATGAGGATGAGAATGGAAATATAATAGAGAAGAAACCTTAGCCAGTCGAGGTTAAGAAGGGAGGCAAGGCTGAGCCAGTTTAGGATACATCAAATTGGAAGGAAATTTAGATAGAGAAAAAGCGTATCTATACTCATAATTTTGTATTCGTGGGTTTGCCTAATTTAAGACTGATTTGATTTATTTTTATTAAAAATAATGTTTACCGAGTAACCATATTACGAGGCTAAAGTGTTCCTTAAATCATACAATGATGCCATCTCCTGTTTGAGGTATTAGTTGTTGATGTAATTCCTCTAGAGAAGCTGCAGAATACAGAGCCCATGTTGAATTCTAGGAACATGCTCTTTAATCCCTGGCCACAGCTCGTACAAGATAAGAAGTAATCAGAATACATAAAATAGCTTGATGTGAGAGATGGTCAAGTAGTGCCTGGACTCAATTTCGCCTAATCTAAATAGACAAAGCTCTTCCAATTCTCTAAGTATTAATTTATACTTAATTTTACAGTCATGTGTTTTCCAAATACTTAAAGGGATTTGAAGAATACACAGGAAGTTTCAAGGGCTTCCAATCGATTCTGAACGAAGGTCTTAAGAAGATGAAGTCAGATGTCAAATGAGATATGATCAATGAGATTATATTATTATATCAACAAAGATAGTATTAGTATTTAAAGTCATACCGCATCAGTATGAGGTTTTCAGTTATATAAATATATCCATTAAAAATATCTTGAAGATAGACTGAAAGTGCAATTTCTTGTACTACTTTATGGAATAGAAGGGTCTATAATGAAGAAAATGTGAATTTATTTGAGTGAACACTAACACATTGATTTGATAAGAAAAATGGCTATTTAAATACAAATATCCATTTTCAGAATATCTAAATTTATTTTATTAAAATAAAATGCTGACAAGGGTATTAGCCAGATAGATGCGTGCAGGTATTTACAAATTTTGATATCTTCATAGCATTCTCTGCCGCTAAGAAGTAAGCAGAGACTACAGCAACTACAACAACAACCAAAGCTACTACTAAAACAACCACAGGTCAAATTGCTTAAGTTATTGGTGCTGTCGTCGATGTTCAATTTGATGGACCTCTTCCACCCATCTTGAATGCTTTGTAAGTGCAAGGCACTAGTCACAAATTAATTTTGGAGGTAGCACAACACTTGGGTGATAGCAGAGTCAGAACAATTGCTATGGATTCAACAGAAGGTCTCATTCGTGGATAACCAGTTTCAGATTTAGGAGGTCCCATCACTATTCCAGTTGGTCCTGAGACTTTGGGACGTATTATGAATGTGATCGGTGATCCAATTGATGAAAGAGGACCAATCGAAACTAAAATAAGATACCCTATCCATAGAGAAGCTCCAAGTTTTGTGGATTAAGGAAGTGGTGCAGAAATATTGATTACAGGAATCAAAGTCGTCGATTTATTGGCTCCATATGCTAGAGGTGGTAAGATTGGATTGTTCGGTGGTGCAGGAGTCGGAAAGACTGTGCTTATTCAGGAATTGATTAACAATGTTGCTAAAGCTCATGGTGGTTATTCAGTGTTTGCAGGGAGTAGGAGAGAGAACAAGAGAAGGAAACGATCTTTATCACGAAATGGTTGCATCAGGTGTCATCAATTTGAGTGGAGGATCAAGATGTGCCTTAATTTATGGATAAATGAATGAGCCCCCCGGTGCCAGAGCCAGAGTTGGTTTGACTGGTTTGACAGTTGCTGAATATTTCAGAGACGAAGAAGGAAAGGATGTGTTACTCTTTATTGACAACATTTTCAGATTCACATAAGCATGTTCAGAAGTGTCAGCCTTATTGGGACGTATCCCATCAGCTGTCGGTTATCAACCAACATTGGCAACAGATTTAGGTCAATTGTAAGAACGTATCACAACAACCAAGAAGGGATCCATCACATCAGTCTAAGCTATTTATGTACCTGCAGATGATCTTACAGATCCAGCACCTGCCACAACATTTGCTCACTTGGATGCCACCACTGTGTTATCAAGAGCATTGACTGAATTGGGTATCTATCCAGCTGTCGACCCATTGGATTCTTCATCACGTATGATGGACCCAAATATTGTTGGTGAAAAGTAATATATTAGATTTAATATTATTTAGACATTATACAGTCACAAGAGGAGTTTAAAAATTGTTGTAAGATTACAAATCACTCCAAGATATCATTGCCATTTTGGGTATGGATGAATTGTCTGAAGATGATAAACTCACTGTCGCCAGAGCCAGAAAAGTATAAAGATTCCTTTCATAACCATTCTTCATGAGTGAAGTCTTCTCAGGAAGAAAGGGTAAATTCGTATCACTCAATGACACAATTTCTGGATTCAGAGGTATTCCCATTATTCTAAAATCTTAGCTTTACTTGACGGTGAAGGTGATGAATACCCAGAAAATGCATTCTATATGTAAGGAACATTTGAAGATGTCATTGAAGAAGCCAAAAGAGTTGCAGCTGAAACAACCAAATGAAAGACACCTTCATTCACATTAAATAAATATAATATCGTTCTTATTATTATTCACTTCATTCTTACTCTGTCTTTAAACTCCTTTATCTACTTAGATGAAAAGCTAAAGATTTGTATATCCAATTTATTTAAATTTTCAAATACTATCTATTATTAATTATATATGTATTATAGTAATTACAAATCTACATAATCCCGCTTAGATAGTTCTGCATTAAGAAATAAACTTGCTTAATCCAAAGAATAACCTAAGAGCTCACCAAAGTCTTATTAATAATAACTCCTAAAGAGATTTTACCTATCACAGAATCTGAGTAAATTGCTCAATCAAGGTTAAAAGAAAAACTCGATTAATAAAGAATTAGTTTCAACTACTAAACATGCGAATTCAACGCCAAGGAATGCCACTCCTAAAACCAATCGTGTTAATTAGCAAGTATCCCTAATTATAATATAATTATAGTATTATTTCGCAAAACAAAATAAATAGTAAACAACTCTTCGCTTATCTGAGTAAATCAGTAAAACATTACAAACAATGTTCAATACACCAAATCATAATATGAATAAGGATTATTCACAATCAAAATTAAATTATACAAACACAGATAGAAAATATAATATAAATTGCTTGGATTCTAGTAAAATAATTCAGAAACTTAAAACTGAAAATGCAGAATACAGAGTAACCACTGAGAGAAATGAAAATAACCACAAACATCTTAGTTTAGATGATTTCATCACTTAAGTGTCAAAACCAGGATATTCAAAATCAAAGTTTGGGATATCCACTTTTAAATAAGCCAAATCCTTGTCTCCAACTAATAGGGTGTTTTCAATCCAAAGATGTAGTTATCTGACATATTTTAGACAACGTTTATTATGTTTCAGCCATGTTCGAGTCAATGAGAAATTGCACCAATTAGATAAGCTAAATATTTAAAGATCATGCCATTTAAACTTTTAATAGCATTGATTTTTGTTTGAATCAATAGGAAAAGGATCTGAGTCATTTGCAATAGAAAATGGTCCAGTGGCCCAAGAAAAATACTTAATGTAAAATAATCTTAGATTCAAGTTAATAAAACAATTGTTTTTGATCTGGACGAGACATTAATACATTGCAATGAGAGTAATACAAGTAGGTCAGATATCTCGTTGCCAATAACGTTCCCCTCTGGCGATATTGTATAAGCTGGAATTAATATAAGACCTTGGGCTAGGGAGATTCTGTAAAAATTATCAGAGGTTTGCGAAGTTGTCATCTTTACAGCATCACATCAATGTTATGCATCATAAGTTATTGAATCCATAGATAAGAATAAAGTAGTATCAGCGACATTATTCAGAGACAAGTGCATTGTTACGAATGAAGGAGTTCATATAAAGGATCTCCGAATCTTAGGAAGAGACATGAAAGACATAGTCTTGGTTGATAATGCTGCTTACAGTTTTGGAGTGCATATTGAAAATGGAATACCAATCATACCATATTATGATAACAAAGAAGATAAAGAATTAAGATAATTGTATGATTTTCTGATCACTAATGTTCTTCCTTCATTTGATTGTAGAAAAGTCTTACAACAAACATTCCGATTAAGAGAATTTGTAAATTATATAAGTCCAAAAACTGCTATTGATAAACTCTATTGTTGATCAAATATATTTAAATATTTAAACATTCATTTGCTCCCCATAGCCAACTAAAACAAAGTATTTTTCATTCGAATATACATCTAATATTTTGGTTAATTTATTAGGATATTCCATCTCATTAATCTTCAGTTTATCTTCTTTGATCATGACTAAATTATTGTAATGACTAATCACATCATCATATTCTGACTCTAATTAAGCATCATATAGATACAATCTATTCTAAATGTCTCTAAAATAATATTAATCATCATTCAAAATTAACGCTTTTGTTATCAAGGCATCCGATATTTTGAATTGATTTGTACTAATAATGTGATTACTACTATCCACACTATAAATTAAAACATTCCCAAAATTGTCAAATTAATCAACCACAATGATATCATCAAAATATGTCGTAATAACATTACCTTTGTGAACTGTATCCTCCATTTTTAGATGTCTAAATCCATTCAAAAATGCATCTTTAACATTTCCTATATATTGATCCCCATTATCCACTCTTATTTTTATTACATGATGAGTCTCTTAAACATATTCATCAATATTTATGATATTCATCTCTCCCAGCTTATCCTCTCTTAAAATCTTCCAACCCTCATCCAACAACTTATATTCATCTGAATCATTCACGATGAAAAAACAATTGTTTCTTAACTATTTAATAATCTTAACAGGGTTGTTAAACAATTTAAGTTCCTGCTTGATTTCATTCATGTCAAATCTCACAATCTTCCCATCCCATCCACCAGTGATGAATTCATTTTGAAAACTAATTATGCAACTTGTTATACAAATATATTAAGGGTTAAAGTGTTCCTCATACTCAATTAATTTATGTGGTAAATTAAGATTGAATTCAATTTCTTCTAAAGTACCTGATGACTGTTTCTACGGTTCCTACATTTATTCTATGTATAATATATCCATTTCTTTTTAGATTTTGCCAATTCCACCATCTACCCTTATAAAATTCAAGCTGGCCTCTAATTGGTCTATGTTATTGATACTGCATTTCTCAACATAATTTAGATAGCCTTGCACTTATTCCTTATCTAAAAGCTTTTATTAGAATATTCTCTCGATTGGACTTTCATAATTAGAAATCAATTTGATTTGCTCTTTAATTGATTCATTAATTGGTTAACTGAATTCCTCTATTATTTTTTCTAGTTTTGAGAAATATGCATTTAACTTTGTAATTATTGACTCTTTTAAGGTTTGGTATTCCTCTAACAAAGAGATTTTATCAAATTATTACACAATCATTATTATTTAATAAAATTAATATTATTTATCATTATGTAAGGTGATTTGAGAATCAATTTAGATTTCTAAGAATAAGAATCATTTTATTCTGATGAAGACGAGGAAGAAGAAGGAATAAAGAACTATCAAATAGGTCGTTTTCATCCAGTTTTTATTGGAGAAGTATTTCATGGACGATATGTGGTGATTCAGAAATTAGGATATGGCAATTTTTCAACAGTGTGGCTAGCAAAGGATTTTAAAACAAATACTTTTGTGGCTCTAAAAATATAAAGGAGTGCACCTTAATCCTAGGAAGCTGCCTTGGATGAAATTGAGATACTATAAACTATTCAGAGGAAATCTAGGAACATCAATATTGTTAAATTATTGAATGTTTTTGTTCACAAGGGAATTTTTGGCAATCATTATGTATTGATTTTCGAAATTCTGGGTCAAAATTTATTAGAGTTGATAAGGAATTGTGATAACGATGGCTTAAATTTGGAATAATGCAAATCTATTATCAAACAAATTCTTATTGCTCTAGACTTTCTCCATAGAGAATGCGGGATCATCCACACTGATTTAAAGCCAGAAAACATACTGTTGTGTCTTACAACTGAACAAATCAAGGATATCGTCGAAAAGGGCCAAATTAAATAGCGCCAATATTATTCAGAATAATTGAACAAATATTCCAAGTTATCTAAATCAGATAAAAAGAAAGAAAAAAGAAAAAGATAAAAGGAGAAGAAAAAACTGCAATCCATCAAATATAAATTATAGTAAATTGATTCCAATAAAAGGTATAACGTTTTATGATGCGTATTAGAATTTTTCAAATCAAAATCGCTGATTTTGGCAATGCTTGCTGGGTAAATCATCATATGAGTGAAGTGATTTAAACCTAGAAGTACAGAGCTCCAGAAGTAATATTGGGTTAATATTATGGAACATCTGCAGATATATGGAGTCTTGCTTGCATCGCATTTGAACTGGTCACTGGAGACAGTTTATTCGATACAGAATTCGAAGATTATGACACTCATTTAAAGCAGATTCAAGAAATTTTGGGCCCTTTTCCAATTGAATTTACTTCAGTCGGAAAATATCGTAGATCATATTTTAAACATGATGGAGAATTGAGAAATGTTAAAGTTAAACATTATTGTTCTTTATAATAGCTTTTGGTTAAAAAGTAAGAAATTTCAATTAATGAGATATCAGATGGAAAATTTTGAAGCTGCTTAGTTTGCAGACTTTTTATTACCAATGTTAAATGTATTTTCTTACAAAAGAGCAACCGCATCTTAAATGCTCAAACATCCTTGGATAAGTAAATAATAGTTCAAATTTCATTATTTCATTGAAGTGCCTTTTATCGATAATGAGCACGAGGTTAATTCTGAAAGTGACGATGAAGATCTAGAAAAGGCTGATCTTTAATGAAAGTGTATATAATAAGTATTCATATTCTTTGCATTTTTTTTAATTAGAAATTTAAGTTCCAATTTTCATAGGAACCTTTCTTTGTCATAATCATCAGTTAAAATTTCTAATTTATTATTTTCTTCTGACATACCCAATATATGAAAATAATTTTATATTAATTTTAATAGTTTATATATTGATATTGTAATGATATAATAATTAATTATAAAAAAAATTATTTTGATTCTTTATGGAAGGTATAACAGTTATTATTATCTATTAGAACTAGCGAATGATCATCTAGTAATAGCAAAAAAATATATATATGATGGAAGCTACTCTTAAGCTGTAAAGTTTTTATTCATAATAGATCGAACTCTTGGAAGCAATAATTGAAAATGACAATTAAAACATTGAAGCCTATAACTTATTAGCCTATGCTATAAAAAACGATTTAGAGAATACGACTGATGCATATATGCGTAGTTTAGAAATCATGCACAGAGCATTAGAAGTAAATTGTTTCTAATATCTAGATTTTGCCAAATAACACACTTACACTGTTCAATATGGCTTCTACTTATTATGAGATGCAAGATTTTCCCTAAGCTATAAATTACTACTAACAACTCATTTAAATCAATAAGGTTAATGACTATCGTGCTTTTTTTAACTTAGCTATGTGTTATGAAAAAGCTGGGGAAAACTAATAAGCTTTGGAAATGTATCAGCAAGTAAATGCATTCTTCTTATAAATAGTCCATTCGAAGCAATCCGAATTTCTCGAGTGCTGTTATAAATTATTCAAATTTGTTAATGCAAATGGGTAAGCAAGCTCAAGCTAGATACACTTTAGAAAACTATCTAAAAAATAATAAAGGTGATATGAGAGCCTTGAACAATCTAAATATCATTTTAGCTGAAAAATAAATAGATTAAAAGGTTGAAGAAAATTTTAAAAAAATTAATCAGAGTGGGGCCATAACAAGTGTGTATAATAATGGTGTGTTTTTATCAAAATAAGGAAAACTCTAAGAAGCCTTATAAATTTTCAAATAGCTCGTAGATAAGCTCAAAGATGAAGTGGAAGAACCACTTTTGCTATTATCCCATGTAAATCAAGGAGTATTGTTCGAAAAGCTGAATGATTTTGATGCCGCAATCTAGAAGTATAACTATGTATGAATTCTCTAATAATTAGATTTTAGATAAGTTTTCTAAAGAAATAAACAGCGAAGAGTTTTTATAGAGAATAGCAGAATTGAAATAAAAAGAAAAAGAAAGATAAAAACTATTTCCTCCAAAAATTATGAGCAAAACCTAAACATAATGGAAGTAACCACAATAGCAACAATAACAAGCTTAAGCTAAAATAAACAATTTAAGTAAAGCTATTAATAATTTAGTGAAACAATCACCTGATAAATATAAGTAATAATAGCCAGCCTTAGTTCCTATTAACAATAACAATAATAAAAAATAATAATAACTTGTTCAGGTTTAAAAATAGCCCTAATAATTAATTTAAAGTTAACCCCATCCTTTTAGCTAACAACAACAAAGATAAAATTAACAATAATAATAGCAATTTCCTCAATAGCCACGAAAACCATCAGGAACTAAAATTATATCCAATCAACAAAGCATACAAAGTGATAAGATTTCATCTTAATAATAATTTGATGAACATCAATCAAGCATTGAACAGATATCAATGGTGTAACCTGTAGATACTGGATAAAGATTTGTGAAGGTAAGTTCTTTAAAGCTTGAACAATAAAAAAATCATTCAGGAGATAATTCACAGCATCAGAAGTTTCATGAAGAAAGTAGTAACGAAATGAATAATGAAATTCCAAACTAATAAAGAACAAAGACAGAAGAATAAGGAAAAGCTAAAAATTAATTTAAAGAAAAATTTGGTTTTTCGGAATCGCACCCTGATCAAGAACCTTAATAACCCAAAGAATAATTTACATTCTAAGGAAATTCAGATCCCTATAGACTATCTTCAATTAAGGAGAGATCTATGGAAATCGGAGAATCATAAAGAGTTAAGACTGATAAATAAAAAACTCAAGACAAGAATTAGAAGACTATTATTGATGAAGTTAATGAAGGTACTAAACAACAGAGTTCAAAAGTTTCTTTGGATTTACAAAACAAAGAGTTAGTAGTTGAAGTAGAGGAAAACTAAGTTACTTTTAAACCAAAAGAAGTTGAAAAATAAGGAGCCTCTCTCGAACAGCAGTAAATGAAGAGCTAAAAGAAACCGATTATTTAACAAAATTATAAAGAGTCGATATAAAAATAGAAAGATGATGATATAGAAAAACCTATTGATGAATCATCTTAAAATTAAGCTAATGATAACACGATTTCTAAAATACCAAATACAGATTCTCAACAATAATTCAAAGATAAAAATAATAAATAAATTTAAATCGCCAATTTAGACAATAAACAATCATAAAAAGAGCAAACATAATCTATTTCATAAAAAGAACCTCAAAAAATAGAAAATCCTTAAAATTAACAAAATAATTAATAGAAATAGAAAGTTAACAATTTATAATAGAATAAATCATCTGATTAAAATAACCTAGAAAATAAAAAAGATCTATTGTAAAACTAGCAAGAGAACAATTAAGTTTAAAAAATTGAAACAACCTAAGATGGTAATAAAAATTAATTTTTAAGAAAATAAAATACTAATTAATAATAAGATAAAGATTAGCAATAAGAGACATAATAAGAACATTAAATATAAAAGGATGGCTAATAGAATAAATTAGTAGAGGAAGAAAAAGAGAAAGATAGATAACTTGAATTATAAAGGTAATAAGAAAAACAGTAAGCTGAACAATAGAAAAGATTAGAAGAGGAATAAAAGGAATAAGAGAAAAAAGATAGATAATTAGAATTGTAAAAGGATTAAGAAAGATAATAAGCTGAATAATAGAACAAATTAGAAGAAGAATAAAAAGAGAAAGAAAGGTAGCTAGAGTTATAAAAAGAATAATAAAGACAATAAGCTGAATAATAGAAGAAATTAGATGAAGAATAAAAAGAGAAAGAAAGATAATTATAATTGTAAAAAGAATAAGAAAGACAATAAGCTGAATAATAGAAGAAATTAGAAGAGGAGTAAAAAGAGAAAGAAAGGTAGCTTGAATTATAAAAAGAATAAGAACGATAATAAGCAGAATAATAGAAAAAACTAGAAGAAGAATAAAAGGAGAAAGAAAGATAATTAGAATTATAAAAACAATAAGAACAACAATAAGCTGAACAATAGAAGAAATTAGAAGATGAATAAAAAGAAAAGAATAGGTAACTTGAATTATAAAAGGAATAAGAAAGATAATAAGCAGAATAATAGAAGAAACTAGAAGAAGAATAAAAGGAGAAAGAAAGATAATTAGAATTGTAAAAGGAATAAGAAAGACAATAGGCAGAACAGTAAAAGAAAATAGAAGAAGAATAAAAGGAATAGGAAAGGTAATTAGAAATATAGAAAGAATAAGAAAGGTAATAAGCTGAACAATAGAAGAAATTAGACGAAGAATAAAAAGAAAAAGAAAGATAATTAGAATTATAGAAAGAATAAGAAAGATAATAAGTAGAATAATAGAAAAAACTAGAAGAGGAGTAAAAGGAAAAGGAAAGGAAATTAGAATAATAGAAAGAGTAAGAAAAATAATAGGCTGAATAAAAGAAGAAATTGGAAGAGGAAGAAAAAGAAAGATAACTTGAAATGTAGAAAGAACAAGAAAGGTAATAGGCTGAACAATAGAAGAAGTTGGAAGAAGAATAAAAAGAGAAAGAAAGGTAATTAGAATTGTAAAAAGGATAAGAATTACAATAGGTAGAATAATAAAAGAAAATAGATGAAGAATAAAAAGAAAAGGAAAGGTCACTTGGATTATAAAAGGAATAAGAAAACTAGTAGGCAGAATAATAGAAATTATTAGAAGAAGAGAATAAGGAAAAGGAAAGATAACTTTAACTATAAAAGGAATAAGAGCCACAATAAGCTGAATAATAGAAGAAACTAGAGGAGGAGCAAAAAGAAAAGGAAAGATAATTAGAATAACAGAAAGAATAAGATAGATAAAAAGTTGAATAGTCGAAGAAATTGGAAGAGGAATAAAAGGAAAAGGAAAGGTAAATAGAATTGTAGAAAGTATAAGAAAATTAATAGACTGAACAATAGAAGAGATTGGAAGAAGAATAAAAAGAGAAGGAAAGATAATTATAATTATAAAGAGAATAAGAACAACAAGCTGAACAGTAGAAGAAATTAGAAGAAGAATAATAGGAAAAAGAAAGATAACTTGAATTATAAAAATAATAAGCTGAATAATAGAAGAAATAAGAAGAAGAATAAAAAGAGAAAGAAAGGTAGCTAGAGTTATAAAAAGAATAAGACAGATAATAAGCAGAAGAATAAAAGAAAATAGAAGAGGAGTAAAAGGCAAAGGAATTGTAATTAGAATAATAGAAAGAATAAGAAAGATAATAAGCTGAACAATAAAAAAAATTGGAAGAAGAATAACAAGAAAAGGAGAGATAACTTGAATTATAAAAAGAATAAGAAAAATAATAAGCAGAATAATAGAAGAGATTGGAAGAAGAATAAAAAGAGAAGGAAAGATAATTAGAATTATAAAAAGAATAAGAACGACAATAAGCCGAATAATAGAAGAAATTAGAAGAAGAATAAAAAGAGAAAGAAAGGTAGCTTGAATTATAAAAAGAATAAGAAAGATAATAAGCTGAACAATAGAAGAAATTGGAAGAGGAATAAAAAGAAAAGGAGAGATAACTAGAATTATAAAAAGAATAAGAAAGACAATTAGCTGAACAATAGAAAAAATTAGAAGAGGAGTAAAAGGAAAAGGAAAGATAGTTAGAATTATAAAAAGAATAAGAAAGATAATAAGCTGAATAATAGAAGAAATTAGAAGAAGAGTAAAAAGAGAAAGAAAGGTAGCTTGAATTATAAAAAGAATAAGAACGATAATAAGCAGAATAATAGAAAAAACTAGAAGAAGAATAAAAGGAGAAAGAAAGATAATTAGAATTATAAAAACAATAAGAACAACAATAAGCTGAACAGTAGAAGAAACTTGAAGAAGAATAAAAGGAAAAGGAAAGATAACTTGAATTATAAAAAGAATAAGAAAGACAACAAGTTGAACAATAAAAAAAATTAGAAGAAGATTAAAAAGAAAAAGAAAGATAGCTAGAATTGTAAAAGGAATAAGAAAAACAATAGGCAGAATAATAGCAAATAGACTAATAATAATAATAAAAAGAAATTGTTATTAATTAAGACTAACTACAGTAACCATAGCATAATGCAGAACCATAATCTCATCCAGTATCTCTATAATAATCTTAATTAATAGATTAGAATGCTTAAAATTAAAATAATAATAATAACAATTCTTTAAAGCAATAAACATTTGGTGATTTATCTAAAATCGATTAGGAACCTGGAAAATCTCCCAGCGAAATACAAAAATCTGAAAGTTAACATTCAAGAAAATTTGTTTAAGAACCCAGTATCATGATTAAAACTCCTCCAAAATAATAACAAAAAACATTCGAAACATTTAACGAAGAAAAAGTAGTTTAAGCAGAATAAATAGCTTCTCCAAAGGAAGTAAAAATTGGAAATGATATTCCTTAATATAATTAAACTGGAACTTTTGTTGGTTTATCTGAGCAATAAATACCTGACACTCGTCGTAAAGAAGGATCAGATAATTAATCTTAAGGTGAATAGCAATAAGAAATAAAGCAATAAAATGATTAAAAAACTGATAAAACAGTATCTAGATCATCAATTTAAAAAGTTAATTCAAGACCACCATCTTCCAAAGGTTAAGAAAAGAAAGCTCCCTTGACATTAGAATAATAATAATAGTAGGAATCTGCTTAAACTAATAGATCAGAATAACCTCATGATAAAGAGAAAACACAATCAAAGGAGATAATATAATAAGAGTAAAATGAAAGTCAATCATAAAAGCCTTAGTCACAATCTGGAATAAGATCTATTAAGAGTGCAGGAAAAAGGGGTGAGAAAACAAATCCAGAATAGCCTTCTTAAAAAGAAGGAGATAATACCTAATAACCTGATTAAACTAATTCAGTAAAGAAATCTAATAAAATTACTCCTAAAATATAATCAAGACCTTTATCTGGAGCAAATTAGCCAATTGAGTTAAGTAGACCAAATTCGACAAAAAACTCAGTTAAAAAAATTACCATTGAATAACAATAGATGAAACAAGAATAATCTAACCAATAAGATAATAAGCCCCCAGAACTTACAGAATCTTAATTATCTATAGAAGATGCAAAAAGACTAACTTAAACAATGTCTTAGTAAGATCTGCCAGTAAAGTAATTGTAAGAAACAGCATCTCATCCCTAACTGTAATAATAAGCAAATCCTCAAACCTAGAACTAATAACAGAGTTCAAAAAACAATTCAAGAATTTAATCAGGAAAATCGTTATAAAAGTCTGATCGCACTCAAAAAAAAGTAGAATAGCCAAATCAAGATTCTACTTAATAATTGGAAAAAGATTAATAGCCACAAACTAAAAGTGAGGATCAAAATAAAGAAATTAAAGATTCAAACACAATTAAATCAGAAGGAAAAAGCAAAGGTGGGTCAAATAAATCTTCTAATGCATAATAATAACCAATTTAGAATGAAGAAAGTAAACCTTAAAGTGCTAAAGATAAACAAAAACCAGTGACTAAAGAGTAGCAATAACCTGTATAAAATTAAGATGAACAAGTCTTTCGTTAATAGCAAACAATAGAGTAGATTAAAGATAAGGCAAATCAGGAAGACATTCCATAAATTAAAGTTCAAAGTCCTCATAGTTCTATGAAGGGAAGCCAAGATATGAATTAGCTTGAAGCTTCTTTACATAAAGATGATTAAGTGGTAGAATAAGAATAAGAGTAAGTAGTAGAGCAAAATTAGGATATTCAAGAGGTCAGATCTTCAAATTAACAAGATTAGGAATAAGCAAATGAAAATGCTATTTAATAAAATAATGAATAAGAAAAATAAGAACAAAATAATGATTAGGATGTAAAAGGTCCAAAATCAGAATAAAATGGTTAAGAAGAACAGGAAGGAATGAAGTCTTCTGATAGTAATAGGTCGTAAAAAACTAATAAAGATGGTGGTTAGGATGAAGTTTTGGAAAAACCTGCTGAAGTTTTATTAGTCCCAGAAAGTCGACCCAAGACATTGGTTTATTAAAATTCGAGTAGCCTTGAATCTTAACCTCAATAAGAGTTGCAATCGTAGACAAAGCTGGGTCATAGCGATACACAATAATTTGCTGAAACACAAAAGAAGATTGCAAAAGTTATTAGATACCCTGAAAACTTTGAGGATTGGACTATAGAAGATTGTTTAAGAAGACTAGAAGAAGATCCTAATGATATCTTTCCTATGTTCAGATTGGCTATACTTTATACAGATGATTTAGAAAAGGCCAAGGAATACCTTTTAAAAGTGACTGAAATGGACCCATTATTTGAGGTTGAAAAAGTAAATTGGGCTTTAGGAACAATTTTCGTCTCAGAAAAAGAATGGAAAAGAGCTCTACATCACTTCAGAATAGGCTATCAATATAGTTAAGATAGAGCTAAATCATATTTAGAAATAGCCAGATGTTATTAAAAATTGGGGGAGTTTGAGAAAGCAGAAAGAACATATAGAAGAGCCATTGATGCCAATAATAAAGATTATCTGCCTTATTATAAGTTGGGATGGATGCAAATAAAGAATAAGTAATTAAAGGAAGGAATAGATAATTTATCAAAAGCATAAACCCTTGATTATTAAAATATGGACATCATTATAAAATTAGGAGAATCTTTAATGATTTATGATGAAGATCCTACAGCTGTAGATGAGGCTGTTATTGTATTACATAAAGGAATGATAGTAGATCCATTAAATTATGAATGCACTAATGCGCTGGCTAGAGCATATGAAAAGAAGGGAGACTTAGTCAATGCTATTAAATATGGAAAGTTAGCAACAGAATAGCCAAATTCAAATTCAAACTCACATTATTTTTTAGGAACTTTATATATGAAGAAGAAGGATTTCAAAAGTGCTGCCGAATCATTTAGAACTTTATTGAGAATAAATAACGAGCACCCGGAGGCTCTAATTGAATATGCAACTATTTCAAGCATATAAGGTAATTTCGAAAAAGCAAAAAAATACTTGAAACATGCATTAAAATCAAGTCCAAATAACCCAGTTGCAAATATGAGATTAGGTAGAATTTATTAAACGAAATTAAATGAATTAAACTCAGCAATTGAATGCTTTGCAAAGGTTTCTAGAGTAGATCCAACAAATTATAAAGCTTATTATTATATGGGTTAATGTTATATTTAGAAAGGAGAGCTAAATAAAGGAATTGAAAATATGAATATGTCTTTAAAGCACAATCAATCTTTTGGACTGGCTTGGAAAGCTGTTGGTAATATTATGTATGAGAAGAATCAGCCAGCTAAAGCTCTAAGATATTTCTAAAAAGCCATTGATTCAGATAAAAATGATATGGAAGCTAAGATTGGGTTGGGAAATTGTTATTATTTACAGGAACAATTTGAATAAGCTATTTAGATTTATGAAGAAATAAGTCATTTGGATCAAAATGAAGAATTAGAATACAATATGGCAAATTGTTATTATATGAAAAATGATTTTGAGGAAGCGGTATTGCATTATTAGAAAGCATTAAGCATAAATCCTGATAAAATAGAATGTTATTATAATTTAGGAAATACATATTGTATTATGGAAAAATTCGAAGAAGCCTTAGAATGCTTTGAGAGAGTGGTAAAGGATGATCCTAAACATTCAGCAGCCTTCTATAATTATGCAAATACATTCTTTGTTTTATAAGATTATGAAAATGCAGCTAAATACTTTGAAAAGGCTGTTGAGTTATAGCCTGAAAATGTTGATTGGAGGTATTTTAAAGATATGCAATTTTAGGAATTACGTAGCTTAATTATATATAGAGAAGGGTGATCTTAATGCAGCAAAAAGACATTTAGATGAAAGCATGAGATTGTAGCCTAGGAATCCTGACACCTTAGTTAGATATGCAAATTACTATTATCAAATAGGAAACTACAAAGAGGCTATTTAAAAAGCAAAAGTATTAATTAACAATAATTATAGTAAACCTTGGCATTAGATGAAGCAAATGATGAAGCTAAATCATTAATTAGAGAACTTACTAAATGATTATTAAAAACATAAGACATTTATTTTATTCCAAATTTTATTTAATCAAGTCTATATTTATCAATGCAATATTATATTATTCTAATATACAATCATTAATTTAGAACTCATAAGATCAAGTTTGATGCTTGGATTTAATTTATTTAAAAATTTCATGCAACTATCCATCAAACAATATTAACTATGATTGCATTTTAGTAGTTTTAATAATGCAGAACATTAATGAGAAAATAATCTGAAAATGTTGAGAGTACTAGAAATTTTTATTTGTAGTTAATAGTATTTATATACTCTTTAGAATATAATTTACAATAACAAACTAAAAATTATTTGATATTTTTTGATTAATTTGATATTGATTTTGATTTAATTTTATATTTTATACTCATTCCATAAACATAAATATATTTCTCATAAAATTACTGAAAATGTATATTATTACCTACTACTATGAATGCGAATTGCTTAAAAATAATAAAAAACTTAATTATAAAGTCGATTTTTGATTGAAAGGAATCAATTATTTCGAAATAGAATTGAGAAGATCAAAGGGATGATGGGTTCTGATAATAATTATTTTAAATTATAGAATATTCTAGTATTTTTAGGATATTTAATAGCGGCTGATTCGAGAAAAATTTTAAACTAATTAATGTCTTAGCTTGCTTCAATTGGTATAGACTTTGGAAGTCAAAGGTCAGTGATTGCTGCTGCTCTCAGAGGAGGTGTAAAGATTTTAGACAATGAGGGAGCTCATAGGGAAACATAAAATGTTATAGGATTTACTGCTGAAGAACGATTTATTGGTGAATAAGGAGCACTATAATAGAAGTCCAATTTCAAAAATTCTATTGGATTTTTTAATAGGTTTCTAGGAATTCAAGGAAAACAAGCATTTCTTGCTGAGGAAATGAAATGGTTAACAGTTCCTACATCAATCCATGAATCTGGAAAAACACTATTTGAAGTGACTTACCTTGGGTAAAAGGCTAACTTCACTCCTGAATAGTTGACAGGCACTATGCTAAATAAATTGAAGCATATTATCTAATTAAACGACATCAATATTTCATCAAGTAATGTGTGTATAAGTGTACCTGCATATTACACAGAATCAGAAAGAAAAGCACTTATTGATGCTTGCAAAATAGCAGACATTCCACTAGAGAGATTGCTGAATGAAACTACTGCAATAGCTATTAATTATGGGCTTTTTAGAAAAACAGAGTTAGATCCAAAGACACCAAGAAATGTAGCATTTGTTGATTTAGGTCATTCTAAATTTTCAGCATTTGTTGGTTCATTTTACAAAGAAAAAGCTTAAGTTTTGGCCTAAGTTTGCGAAAGAAATTTAGGAGCTAGAGATATAGATTGGGTTTTATTTGAGAAATTTGCAACTTAATTTGAAATAAAAACAAGCGGATTGAGTGTTAGGAAAAATGCTAAGGGAAGATTACGTTTACTAGAAGCAATAGAGAAAGCTAGAAAGGTCTTGTCTGCAAATTCTGAAGCTTAAATTAATGTTGAATATTTAGTTGAAGATGAGGATTTTAATACTCTAATAAAAAGAGATGAATTCGAATAATTAGCTTAACCTGTTTTATTGTAGATATAAGCACAACTTGAATTGTTGTATAATTAGGTTTAAAACTTAAAATTATAACTGCATTCAGTTGAAATAGTAGGAGGAGCAACTAGAATACCAGCTGTATAGCGATTGATTGAGAAAATATTCAAAATTGAATAAGTTTCAAGAACTTTAAATGCAAGTGAATCAATTTCAAGAGGATGTGGAATGATGGCTGCAATGAGAAGCCCAAACTTTAGAGTTACTGAGTATAAAATAGAAGATTGCAATTACTATCCAATAAGAGTTGGTTGGCTTTATGATCAAAAACTGAATAAATTAGATTAAAGTAAGGGTTTGGCGAGATGTTTCCCTGAAAAATAATGTAAAATTTTGTTTGAATAAAACAATCCAATTCCTTCAATCAAAAGTTTCACTTTAATGAAAACACAGCCAATTTAATTAACTCTCTTTTATGATCCAGTCCCTCAAGGGTTTGATCCAATTATATGTAAATTAAAATATTAATATTCCTAGAATAAGTACAAGTTCCTCCTCTAGTTCCCAAACACAAAGAGCATACAACTAAAATAAAAGTGTTGCTTGATTAGAATGGTCTATTAAACTTAGAAGAAGTCGTATTAATAGAAGAATTTATGGAAGATGTCAAAGTACCTGTAAATTTCTAATCTTAATTTAGGTTGAAAAATAAAAGTTAACTACTTCTGAAAAGTAAGAAGAAGGTTAATAGTAATAAAAAGATGCACAAGTACAAAAGGAGGTTAAGGTAGAAGAACCAGAATATGAAATAAAATAAAAAAAGAAAACTATACAAAGTTAAGTGAACTGTGAGACTACTTGTTTATATTCTTTAACAAAGAAAGAGATCGATCATTATTTCTAATAAGAGTGTGAAATGCTTAATAATGATAATTAAATTCATGAAACTCAATTCAAAAAGAATCAATTGGAATCTTATATTTATTCTTGGAGGGAAAATTTGAATGGAAAATATGCAGAAAATGTTAAACCTGAATTAAAGGAAAGAATTTTAAAAGAATTAGACCTCCAATATGAATGGTTATATGGAGATGGCTAAAAGACTACAAAGAGAGAATATTCTGATAGATATGACAGGCTTGTTTCTTTATGTGGTCCAATAGCCACAATAGCAGATGAGTATAGACAAATACCTGAAGTCATTTAAGAAGTTTAAAAATATAGTTTAATTTATGAAAACTTTGTAAATTCATAAGTAAATAATTATTTAATTTCAAAGGATTAACAATATGCTCACATTTCGATAGAAGAGAGAAATCTTGTTGCAAATGAATTAAAATTATTCAATTAATGGTGCTATAATACAATAGAGTTATTGAAAAATGCTGATAAAACAGTTAGATTTGCTATCTCAGTTTAACAGGTTAATACAAAATATGTAGAATTATAACAGGTAAGGATTTATAATATAACATAGAAATGTCAACCAATTGTAACTAAACCTAAACCAGAATCCATAAAGGAAGAAAAGGTTATCGATGACACCAAATAATAATAATAAAATAATGTTAATGGAAATAAAATGGAAACTGAATGATTAATTATTTATGTTATGTAGATAAATATATATTGGTATATTTAATTTCTAACTAACAAGTAAAACCAATCATAACAGTTCTTCATATCTAAAAAAAGTTGATGGTTTCCTTGCTGTATTTGGCTTGCATAAAGATCTGTCACTATGTTGTGAGACGGGTCTTTAGTTGTCTATAACCATAAGAGGAGTTGTTGGTTCGTGGTACTTAGACTCCATTAATTGAAATTATGTCATTTTCTATTAAATTATAAGATTTTGTCTTTTTAATTGCTAAATATATTTTTATTTTTACTTGTAACAATTGATCATTTCTGTCCTTTAGTTTTTCAACATACTCAACTAAGTTTTATCTTTCCTAAGAGTATCTTAGTTTATCTAATTTTAATGCCTCAATTTTTTACTCTTCACATCTATTAGGTTTCATGGATTCATAATTAGTTATGTAATCCATGACTCCTTGCTCAATAAGAGGATGTTTAAGAGAATCTTCCATGATATCAGATATTTTTTTGGAAACATCAAGTGGCAATTTTAAATTAACTAGATTTGTAGTGATTGCTCTATGGATGGTATTCAATAAATTTTAAAGTGATAACTTTTGCATCACTTGTTCAATAGTTTAAGATTTAGTAATTATCTTAGTTAGCTTACTTTAGGTAATTTCTCCATTGATAATTTATTCTAATTTTCTAGAATAATCAATATTTATTTAATCCATTTTATCCTTAAGTTAATTATTTTGATAATCATCAATATCATTATTTAGGATATTCAACTAATCATTTAATGAATTAATTTCATCAAATAAAATTTAGTTATATTCTGCTCTTATATTGTTTTCTCCTCTTTACAATTTATTAACCATCTTCTCTAAACTCTCAATTTTTTAATTTAATTAAGTTATTTTTACTTGTTTTCTCTAACATTCCATTTTAGATTAGCCTAATTGTATTTTGAGATCATCAATTTATTTTAAATAATTAATCTCATTCTCTTTTTATTCAATAATATTCTCTGGTTAAGAAGCTTTCTTTGATGAAAAGAATGATAAATCAATTTAAAGACAAGATTTATCTGTCATTAAACTCATTGATGGATGCTTTGATTTATTCCCTTTCTCTTAATTTATTTAAGAATCGTAATGTTTGATCAAATTATTTTCATTCGGGATGTCTAAAATTGACTTTCTTTTTAACTATTCTAACTCCTGATGAGCTAATTATAACTGTAATTTCAAATCTTTTATCATCTATTGCATCATCTCTGAAGACATCTTCACATTCATTTTATAATGATTTTTTATAGATTTAGCTCTCGATGCAAATTTTAAAGTGCTTATGGTTTCATCCATAGATGTTACGTGTGATGAACATGTGACTATCTATAATGATATTTATAAAATATCTTACTAAAGAAGTTTTGTAGTTTCCACCCAAAGATTCCTATAAAATTCTAGTTAATTTTGAATTTCTGTATGGAATATGGTCATTATTTGTAGTCAATGCATGAATAACATTCCCTAAACAAGAAAGCGATAAATTAATCTTTTTCGCCTCTTCTAGTATTTCTCCTTATGCACCCGTTTTGCCTACCTTTTCTGAACCTGCTAAATCAACTAGATTTAGTTTTCCTTTCTTTTCAGTTTCATTCGGTAATCTTTATTTGATTTCCAACATGAAAATAGTATGGGATCTGGAACTATATTAATTAATTCTTGTAGCAGCTACTTTTCTTGTCTATTCTCCTAGTTCCACAATTCTAAGCAACTCATCTTGACTTTATAATGATAATTGAGTTAGTCCTTCGACATAAATACCCTTGGTTGCACTTTCCTTTATCTTTAAATCTGGACGCTACAATGATAGTAAATCAAATAAGGTTTCCTTATAAATTTCTAGCATTGAACAAGTTAATACAAACTCACATTCTGGATCACTTTGATTTATGTATGTGAATATCTCTTAACTAACATATTAATTATAATCTAATACATCGATCTTGGTATTATTCCTTGACCATTCGAATCTCTCAATTCCCCAAACATCGTATATGTCTTTCCTGATCCAGTCTACCCATAAGCAAAGATAGTGCTGTTGTATCCATTTAGAACATCCTAAATTGCATCTCTTCCAACTGAATCATAAACTGTTAATTGATTGGAAGTAGGAGGGAAGACTCTATCAAATGTATGGATCACATCTGGCTAAAGGAGGACTGTGTGTATATCTGGAAAGATGCAAAAGTCTTGAGAGGGATTGTTCTCTTCCATTTTGTTTAAAGGACGAAAGCGAGCAAACACTTTGATATTAGAAGTGTTTTCAGACAGCACGTTTCTAGGTGAATTAAGTCTTTTAGGCATTGGTGACTTGGCTCTTTTTTTTGCTGAACTATCTGAGTCGAATAAAGCAGGGATCTTCTTCATTGTTAACTGTTAAATAAATTATTTTAATGAATTTTGATAATATTAAGAAAAATGTACAACTGATAGTATATGTACAAATCGATTTACACAAGCCATTTAAGTTCATTTTTGAATCTCTTATTTATAACTCTAACTTCAAAGCACAAATATTTTAAACAAATTTCCAATGAACTGATCATTTTTATATTATAAAATATGATAAACAAGTTGAGTTTTTGATTATTAAAAATAAAATATGTAATAACATGTGGATCCATCAACTTAAATTCTTAAGCTCATTACTATTCTAAACTAGAAAGGATAGGAAGTTGTAGATAAAAAACCTGCCATTTTTAACGAGATAATCAAAATCACAAAATAGGTAATTGAAGGAAAATAAGATTCTTAACAAATTCAGAGACTTCAATAGGATGATTTCATTTTGTGGGCTCGCAATCAGTTATAAGATAATAAAGCTTAAAGTAATATGAGAATACTCATATTGTAGTTCGATAATATGCAATCAAGTTTTTGAGATACCTCATTACAGATCAAAAGATTCTTGGAATATACCGACAAAAAGGAGTACATTATTTCATTGCTCGTTCATTACAAAGAGATTGTAAACAACCAACGAAGAACGATAGCACAAGCAGATAATAGCAATAGCCATAATACATTTAGTAAGAAGTTCTATAAGCATTGAAATTCTCAAATAAATGGTTGGAAAAATTGGGTGGGTGCTAAAATCAAAATTTAACAACAACAAGCAAATTCCCAAAAATTTTAGGGAATGCTCTTGTAGCATTGGCAGAATCCTGTGAAGAATCGCTTAAAAGTTATGCTATAATAACATTAAGAGCTTTTGCACTAAATGCACCAGAAATGTGTAGTTGGTGTGGAGGCATAAGAATATTGATTGAAAATGCAATGGAACCAAACCTATCTAGAATATCTGACTAAATTGTATGGACTCTATTGTATTTATTAAATGAGCCTTCCGCTCGAACCACAATAAGAATGTATTTAGATTTATCAAAATGGTTTTCAATTTTTACTGAAATAGATCCCCCCATTGATCAAGCAAAAAATGATAAAAATAGAACTACAAACAATAATTTTGAAGCAAATTTGCAATTGGCAAAAAAAGCAATAATAACAGTGCTCAAATCATGGCAAGGTCTAATTTATTTAGGAGATGAAAGACAAGCTCTAAAGTCATTAATATAAGTATTAAGACAACCAATCAAACCAGCAATCAGAAATTCTATTTATGATATTTTGAAATCATTATTATAATTAGGAAATAAAGAGAACGTTGGAGTTAGTGTAGTCAACAGATAACAATAATAAGATGGATTTATTGGAGAGTATAAAATCAATAATTTACTCAATAATTATTTAGTTATGTTAGTATAGGTTCTATTGGATTGTGATTTATTCAAAATTTTGGTTGAATTAAGTGGATTACCAGATTAAGATGTATCAGGTCCAGCATAAAGATTTTTAAAAGAATTATCCTCTTTGATGTTTAATTTAATTCCAGATTGCCACAAATATACGGATTTTTTAATTGCTGCTGCTAATTAAAATGATCCCTTTTTATAAGATTTAAAATCATGGTCATCTGAAATTGTTAATACTATGGGTAATTATGCTTTTGATAATACAAACAAGAAAGGAAGGAATTAGATTTCAAAATTCTTGTATTAATGTGAAAGCTTATATTTGACTACACAATTAGGATTACCAACACATAAGATTAATAATGAAACGGTTGGAATCATTCGTGGGTAAATTGAATAAGAGGCTGATTAAAATAAATTTGAAACTTTATTAAGTAAGTCTTATGTCTTAGAGAAAAAAGAAGACAACTCAAAGTGGAATTGGAATTATATATTGGACTTATTGGAAAATTACTTATATGATGAAAGTAGATATTAAGAAACAATTAAGAATAGGTTTTTAAAAAATCTTCTAACCTACTACTTTCCATCAAATATGCAATTTTGTAAAATGGATTGGAAACCAGATTTTATCCAAGCCAAGTGCGGTTATTTATTATTAAAATTGTTGCTTAGAGATAAAGTTGGAAGAGAAATTATTTCATCAACTACAGGAGGATATTTGGGAATAGCTAAAAGCTACATATAAGATTTAATTAGTTTATTGAAAGCTGACAACTCAATAATCGTAGGTTTGAAGTCCTCTGTTGATTAAAATGCTTAAAGACACGCAGCCTAATACTTATTGAATCCTGAATAATATTCACAGAAGATGATTCGAGAATACATCTCTTGGATTGGTCTCTTTTCCTGTTCAAAAAGTGGATAAACTATTCTGGAAAATACTGGGATATTTGCAATATTAAAAGACTATATTTTAGAAAGCGGAATTAGAGATCATGTTCTCATACATGTATTTATTGAATTTAATAGTTTAGTTAATTCACTCATTCGATTATGGAAAGCAATCTTAGGCCAGGGTCTTTTTTAGTAATTGCTTAGAAGATGGATCGAACACTCTTATCAAAGCATGTCTTGATTTCATTAGATTACTATACAGAAGCGAATTACATGATTTTAATATTTGGGCTATTGATTTGTTGATAAATTGCTTAAAAAAAACCGATGATATAGGTCTAAAAGCCTTATCAGTGATTGAAGAAGTGACTTAAGATATAGAAAATGCAAACAGATTTTTAGAAAAAGTAGACATTCATCGATTATTACAATTGTGTTAGAAATGTGAAAGTCAACTGATAATTATGCTTTTATCTCATAAAAAAGGATTTGAAAAAATATATAAAGATTTAAATGAATATTTGTTAAACGAAATAGAAAGGTGGAAATAAAGTGAATGTGAAAATTATATTGAGAAGGTTGAAAAAGTGATGTGTGATGCCTTAGAATTTGTATCATCTGAAGAATAGCAATATCTATTCAAATTTCCTTTATTATAAAATAATAATGAAAATCCAAACGCATCTATTGGTTTTGTTTATAAGATGCCCTGGAGTATGCTTTTGAACTGTGAGCTTGGTAGTGAAGGAAACGGTATTTTATATCATTTAAGTAGATCTCGTTTACTTGAATGTAACAATTGATTATCCTGGAACTACAAATTTATTTATATTGGTTGGAAAGAGTGATCGATTTATTTAATTTCATAGTAACAATCCTTTTGTTCTTAAACTTCAAATAAACGTTGGCAAGATATTTGTAGACTAATCATTTAAAGAAGTTACAGAACCATATTTAATAAGATGCGATGCAAATGATAAAAGAAATAAATCATACGTAAAAGATAATTAATTGATAATCGAAAAGAATGGAATTTTGTTCGTATTTGATTGTATTTTATTTAATAATTACTTAGAATTTGACTCAAATTTGAGATTGAATCATATAAAAGTGTATGTTAGATTAGGAGAAACAAAAAATAATACTATTAAGATGCCTGCACATATATTTGGGGAGCTAGCATTTACAGAGGCAGGTTTCAATTTGTTAAGGAATTATATTGACTATTTTGTTTAATCAATTAGAAGTACTGATGTGGCATTCCAATAAAAACGATCAGCCCTTTGGGCTATTGGACATATTGGATAAAGCAAATATGGAATTAGATTGATTAGAGAATTAGGGCTAATTTAAGACCTTGTCAAAATGGCAGAATAATACCCAGTATTATCTCTTCGAGGCACTTGTCTTTATACCCTCAATTTAATTTGCACAACTAGTATGGGAAGAAAGGAATTAGAAAAGTTTCAATGGATCTCCCATCTAAATTGCAATTCAGGTTGGTTATGTATTCCAAAAAATATCTATCAATTCTTCTATATAAGGGTATCATTGTAGGAAAGTCATAGATGCTATTGGGCTTTGTAAGAAGACATTTGGGATAAATATTCCAAATTCTAATCCTATTTCAAGATGAATTAAACTCAAAAGAAAATTATTGATACAATCTCTTTGATGAGCAATTCAATCACTTATAAAGAAGCTGATAAAGAGTTAAGCAGTTTGAAAAATTCAAAACCTGAGTGCTTCTAAGATGTTGATCTATTCCATTTAATATTGATGATGATAACATTTTATTAATTCTCAGCTTAGGCTAAGAATAGAATTTTTAGTAATTTTGACAAGATTTTCACGTATTAAACGATCAACATCATAATTGAGCATCCAATCTATTAATAATTATCATGTCAAGAACCAATAATTATATGAATATTATAATATGATGATTATTATTAACTAATATTTCAAATGTCTCTATACCCACATCTTTATTCTGAATTATAATATATTTAAGTCAAAGAAGCAGGATCATTTTTTAAATTAAAATAATCTAAGTAGTTTTCTTGAACCCTCTACTTTGACATCCACTATTTATCAATGTCCCAAATAAAAAATAAATATTCATAAAAGCATTACTCAGTTTAATTGTAGTAATAATAATTGTGAAATGTGATTTTAGCCGGAAATTTTTAGCCATTGTAATTACACGCTTGCAATTAATTAATGGACTGGTTGAAAGTATTTAAAGTAAAAAAATTACTTAAATATTATTCACCACAATTATCCTCTGAAAAATATAAAGGAATGGGTATATTCCCTGTTTCCATAGCGTGATGGATTAACATTTCAGAATTAATTCCCATTAGGTTTAAATATAATTCATTCATAAATCGATATTAAGTCATAACCTAATCTCCAACAACTTTAGATATGTAACCAGTACATGGTTTATCGATTGTATTCTCAAAATTAAACAAATCGTGTTCCTTAATCATCAAATATTATGATGAATCTAATTTTTTATAATGCAGTTTTTCTAAAGATTCTTTTAACTGTTCATTTCCTCTACCTAAAATTTGAATAACATTTTCAACAGGTGAAAAGCATCTCTAAATCGGGTCAAATGTCACTGTAATCATACTACCATTCTTATCGATTCGATTGATCTTATAATTATAGCAATAAAAATCATTATTTAGTTATCCAATCTGATATTGATTATCAGCATTTCTTGGGATTTGTACATTTGATTTCAATCTAAAAATGTTATCCAGTTTTAAAGATTTGTACAATCTTACTTCTAAAAAGTTTACTAATTTCAATATATTTTATTCCTTCTATTAGGTATATTTTTCCTAGAACTTATCCTCCTTTGTGTATTAATTTTTTTGTTTTTTTTTGTAAATGCTTTTCTTTGTTAATATCTAGTAATCTTGATCTATCGATTTTTTTGCCTAAGTAATCATTAAAACAATTTAATAAAGATAATTAATCCAATATTTTAATACGGATAAACTTAAAAATACATAATATTCAATTTTAACATTTACTTTTGATTTGAACGCGCTTCATTAACTTAAAGCATTGAATTCCAGCTTTCAATTTATCAAAAGATGATTGACCAAAAGAACAGAATTACTAAGCATTATAGTGAAACAAATTTAAATTAATTTGGAAAAGTTTAGATAGTATTAATTATTAATTTTTATACATGTAAGGTTTAACTAATATAGGCAATACATGCTATATGAATTCAGTCCTTCAAATGCTGTATAAATTAGAACAACTAATGCTGGACATTGATGAAATATACACCAATTCAAAAGAGAATAGTTTTCTTATTACTTATTACTTCATGGAAACATTTTATTTGATGAATAATCACGAAATGAAGCCTGAATGGCTAAATCAATTTAGATAAGTAATTTGGTAAATAACCCCTCTATTAATAAGCTCACAGTATCCATAATTTAAGCTTAACGAATAGTAAGATGCATAAGAATTTTTACTAGCTCTTTTGGACATGTTACATGAAGAATTAAGGAATCCCTTGTCCGGAAAAATACCTATATTTGAATTTCAATAAGATGGTGAAGTAGTATTAACGTCGCTCATTAGTTATATTGAATTTGAAAAGTCCCCAATTACTAAACATTTTGGAAATATCATTCGAACTCAAATCATTTGCCAATCTTGTAATTGTATTTAATATCTTCATATATTAAGATAGCAACAATAAACTAGAAATAGCTTTCTCGCTTCTCATTAACGTAGAAAGTAGTAAAAATACAGTTTTAGAAATGCTTTAACAATCATTCAATAAAGAAGCAGTTAAAATGAAATGCCCTAAATGTGAATTGGAAAGAAGGTTTGATAAATAAACTACTGTCCTAAAATATTCTGAATAGCTTCTTATTTGTTTAAATAGATACAGAATACCTGGAGGATTAATTGATAGATGGTGGAATGGAAATGAAATATAAAAAAGCACTAAATCAATTACTTTAACTAATAAATTAATAATGGGTAAATGTGAGAAGATTTTGATTGGAATAGTTGATCACAGTGGTAGTAAAGATAAAGGACACTATCGCTATTTTCATTTAAGTGGTAATGATTGGGTCTGCTTTAATGATGCAAAAATTAATTTGCTTTGTGAACAATCAATTCAGAAATTGATTCACTAAAATGAAACTTCTTATATTTTGCTTTATTCTAAATTATCATCATGATTAGATTTTCATATTATATCTTTTATAATAGCTATTCAACAACTCAAATTTTCTATTTTCTATTTCACATAATCAATCTAATCCTAATTGAACTATGGATTGAAATTTAAATGTTTCAATTATGCTTATAAATTTTCAATTAATTTCTCCCTTAAATTCAGTAATTTATAAAACATTTCTAAAATTTACAGTTTGAAATATTCTAAAATTTTATTCTGAAACTCTACTGCATTCATATTCTTAAGGATATTCACTCCTTGCTCTTTTAATTCATCATCTCTGAGAAGCAAAAATTATAAAGAAAACTAATAGAACTCTTAAACTAATGGGTATCTGCAATTAATGATTTTTCAAATACAGATTATTTCATTAATGCTTTAAGCTCCTCTACTTTTTTTAATTTAACATCTATAAATAATAAGTAACCTAAACTAAATTAAAAAAGATAATGTTAAGTTAATTTATGATTATTCAATAGTTGGTATTAATTATTTGCAATAACCAGAGCATCCACATAATTTTCTTATTAAATCAATTATAAAATGCTATGATGATTTACCTCAATAATCTTTTCAATATGGAAATTTATTTTTGATAAGTACTTTAATTGTATTTCAGAGTTATCCGTATCTAAATTATACTTTATTCTAAATTAATAATAGTCAAGAAAAACATCTTTTGTTTCTAGGCTATCTTACATTTTAGACATTTCCTATTCTATTCTTGATTAAATTGATTCTAAAACCTCATCCGATTATCCCAAATAAAATTAAATATCAAAATTCTAGATTTCAATTTAAATTGCTTGGTATTTTAGAGGTGTAAATTCAATTCCCTTTTTGTATAATTTTTCAGCTTAGTAAAAATCATTCATCAGTATTGCTAATTTAATTTATTGGATATATGATTTAGAAAACAACCTCCTTAATTAATTGATGTAAAAATCTTGATAACTCTTGTTATCTACACTTAGGTTTTTCTCCTGCTTATTTTCTAATTCAATAAATTTAAGAGTTGATTCAATTATCTCTCCAGCTTGTTCGAATTTAGAAATAGATTATGTGTATAATCCTTTATTATATTATATTTAACCAGCAACTACTAAAGTCTCAATGTATTAATGAAGATGGACATTTTCCATGTTCTCAAAAAATTCTATCAGATCAAATTTTTGGTTATTTTTCATATTTCTATAAAAATTGCAATGATTTTCAATAATATTTTTCCAATGAGACAATGATTTTTCTGCCAATTCTAATTCTTAATTGTGATAATTAATCCTAAATTGAATTCCTGTCAATTCTGCTAAAAATAACTGTTTCATTAACTCACCTTAATATGTATTCTCATAATCACCAGATATAGCATAAGAAAGATATTGTTAGCATTTATCAAATTTACTATTGTAATAAGTGTAAAATGCTAATTAAACAAGATTTTTTCTAAATAAATAGTATGGCTATCTAATAAAATAATTAAATAATACTTCTAATGTTCTAAGAATGATTATAAATATTACACTAAATTATTTTCAATAGCTTCTATTTATATAGACATTGTTTCTTTCTCTATTTAGTTTATTGAATTCAGTTGCTATTCATTTAGTTCAATTAATTTATTAATATTCTACCTGACATCTTAATTACTCAAGCTGAAGTTATATTACAATTTTTGTATTCTTTGGAATGGAATAGAAAATTAATTAAATCTAAAAATAGTATTTTTCATATTTATATTATAATTAAGATAAATTAACAAATGTTTCTTGTATTTGCAGCAGCATTTTAATTGTCATCAAGAATCACTTAAGATTTTAAGATGTCAATATTACATTCATACAAATTAATCCTTGGTTTTTGAATGGTCAAAACCATAATGAAGCTTTTGTAGATTGGGAAGGAATTCCAGTGCAATAATTTCACACATTTAATGAGAGTAATAAAAATTTACATTAATTATAGATCAATTTCCAATTAACATAACACTAAGAATTTCAACATAATCTTAATTTTATCCTTTATTTAGGAAAGTCTTCAGCTTCGATTTCCAGAAGTAGATGAAATTACCTATACTTTACGACCAAAGTAATCTTATTCATTAGCAATTGAATATATTTGCACTCAACAAAATCAGGGAATCTAATAAATTGATTTATTTTTTTTATGGAATTAGGCATTATAAACATTGCTAAAACCCTCATACAGCCGTAATTGATTTTAAGAATATGTTAGCAGTTATATTAATATACTTTACAACAACTTGTAGTTCTCTGTTGTGTATTAGAAACGTATTTATACAATTTGAACTTACTCCTACTAAGTAATTATTGACATTTATACTGGTTCCTGCTATTGGATTATTTTTTGTTTATTCAAAAATAATATCATAAATTTTAGCATTTGTAATGCTATGTGATTTCATTCATTTTGCATCAAAATCATTAATTGTTGGTTTGATAACTTCCTTTCTAATTTTATACTTTCAACACTATATGTTTGAATCTGCTTAATTCCAATCAGTTTTCCTAGAAGCTTTGGTTCATCAAATACTTCCTTGTATTATAACAATCGTTTTGCTTATATAAGTCAATCGAGTAACTATAAAATTAAATGTAGTGTATAATTCTAGCCAATTAATTCTAGCTATTTTTATTTTTTTGCATTATTTGGCTAACAGAAATTTATTCTTTGGTTCATTGAACACAAGTTGATAAATATATGCTTATATAGAATTTTTAAGATATGCCTGCTTTCATTCAAACAAAGTTTTCAATTTTAATTGCAAACAACGATACTATATGGTAATAAAAGTAATATTTTGAGATTAAGTATAAACATTGATATCCATTTGTATTAAATAATTGGTTTATCTTTAATACAGTCATTCATCTTTAGACATGGACTACTCAATAAAGAACAAATTATAAATATTATCGTTAATGCCATAACCTAATTTACTGGACTGATATTATTTGATCTACTCTATCGATACAAACACAATCCACCATTTTTACCGCTTATTACTGGCTTTATTCTGCTAGGAATGGTGTTAAATTATTTAAGAACAGGTTCAGGATTGAGAAATCCTTATCTTGAATTTGAGACAATGGAAGAAAAGATTAGAGTCATTTGATGTTTTTAATGCCATATAGTTCTAATAAGCTTAAATTTGATAAGAACATATTATTTAAATTTTGATTGCTGCAAATTGATTGTCTTATTTTACCACATTTTCACTCAAAATTTAAATTACAAAGACAAAAGCCTTTTCCCAATATATTTAAAAATTTGAATAACTTTCCCTCCGATTTTAACCTATGCATATTTTGTTTTGAGATTTAGAATTTAAAAATATAAATTAATAAAAATTGTCTAATGGCCTTTTTTTCCAAAAATATCTATTTTACTTTAATCTCGTAATAATAATAATAGTTTTTGATTACTTTTAACTAATCTTTAGCAAATAAATAGCCTTTTGGCTTATATGAAAATTAGATTGATTTATTAAATAATAGGATTTGAATTTCATTCAGAGGTTGATAAACAAACATTAAATTTCATACTTTAGGATTTTTTTGCGTTGTGTTAATTCAAGATTTTTTCTTTTAATATAAAAGAAGAAAAAATTGATGTGTTTGAGTCAAATAAGTCTCAACAAATAACTAGCTGTGCGTGAAATTAAGGAAGAGAAATCACAAAAGGCTTGCACTTCTAATGATAATTTTACTGAACTTCTTAGTTTTAACTATCTTTTGTGCCTTATTAAATTATCAAACGAATGAATAATGAATAAGTCTTTTATAATATCAGGCTAAGAACTAACTTTGATGTAATTGGCGATGAAATCACAAAAACTCAATAATAAGTAAGTGTTAATTAGGTTATCTGGAAAACGCAATAAAAACAAAAGTAATTATGCAACAAGAAAAAAGCAATCTTAATCATCATAATGATAAATAATAAAATTAAATGCAACAAAATACCTTTTAATACTTAAAAACTAGTGAAAAATTATCAATTCGAATAATAAAAATCATGAAATTGATAACTTCAATAAAAGTAAACTCGAAGATTATCAATTATTTATATATAACATAGAAAGATATATAGAAGCTTGTAATTTTCTGATTCAATTATTAATAGATCCTCCAGGAGATTCATTCTAATAAAGATCACTATTCGAATAATTGAGAAGTTTTTGTGCTGTTTCAAAAAAATCTTTTTAATATATTTATATAATTAGATTGGAAGAAACTTTGATGATTCTTAATTTATCTATTAAACTTGACTTTGAAGCTTCAATTTTTACAATCCCGAAATACAATTAGTTGGGGATAATTTCTAAGCAGTTACTTTCTTTTTTAATAGTACTTCCTCAAAGAATAGATCTAATGAATCAATTTGAAGAAGTTTTGGAAACTTAGATTTAGCTATTTCGAAAAACCCTAATTATTCTGGCTATTTCCACAGAATAGGTATCTGTAAAAGACGTGTTCGCTTTGCTTTGAT